GCACTTCTGTTATTGCTTAGAACTATATCAATTGTTTTGCCCTGGCTTTTATACAAAATTAATGAATCAATAGATCACAAGGTTGTCACCACATTGGCGATGAGCTCAGTTAGAATAAATCAATGATCTACAAGAACATGCAGCAATACTTATACTATACAGCGTATCGATTAAGTCCCTGCATGGTTTTTAATTTCCGATAAGAAACAATGAACATTGAGATACAAAATCTCAAGAAATCATCATCGTAATTTTCGTTTATCGCTAAATAAATCAAGAAACCGAAGCTATTGGAAAAGAAAGATTGTGTGCAATCAACTCAAAAGATTTCCTGCAGCTTCAAATCATATAAATGTTTTTGTTCTCTGTCCCTCTGATCTTATATGCAGGCTTGTTGTGTATGTATGGTAATAATATCTGCATGGCTAAACACAGCAGAGGGGATAATGTTGGAAGCTTATTGACCCCAGACAGATTTTGCTGCATTAATAATTAAGAGGAAATTATTAGTTTTATTTGCCTTATTATGATTAAATCTTTCTTGTTTTTGGTTATTGAACTTTCTAGAGACAGCCAAACAACCTAAAAATAAATGTTCAACAAAAATTTGGTGCTAACATAACCAAGAGTCTAAATGCAAGAGATTATGCCTCCATATCATTGGCAAAATTAATTGTTTTCTGTTAGTTAACTAGCCCCCAATGTAAACTAAAAGGCCTATAAGCTTAATCAAGAGGCCAAATGGCAACAGATTAATTAATCAAATCAAAGATTCCACCTCTTCAATTCTTAAATTGGCTCTTGGAGAATCCGCATGTGCATGGCATCTAATTAAGCATAAACAAAACGTTTCTGGTGCGGCTGGTGAAGAACACTGTTGATTGGTCACCACCAAGTCATCCAATTTCAAGCCAAATGATGAGGTGTGCATGCCATAAGGTCCACATGAAAATTTAAACAAAATAAAATAAATATTTTTAGAGTTCAGTGTCTCCCATCCCATTAACATTGCATGCCAAAAGCTGGCTGGTTGGCTGCACTTTATTTTGCAACTGTTGCATAAGTATCAGATTTGCAGACACAGTAAAGGCTGATATATTTTCATTTTCGAATTTCATGTATTTATTTCATTGAAGGGTTTTTTTTTGGATCAAACACCCCTCTAACAATTCAATCAGCACAAAACAGAAATACAATTAGAAGAGAGGAGAAAATATAATCTCTGCTATTTTGCCTCCATCAAAATTGTTCTGTCAGTGGTCCCAAACACCTTGAATTTGACAAGAACAAAAGGAAAGGCCAACAACCGAGTAGGACAAACTGGATTAATCAATTGCTAAACTTGATTAATTGACTCTAATTAACAAGACTGAATTGACTAACTGCCCATGATCCTAGATGCCACCTACTGTTTAAAGATTTAGGTTCTACACTCTTTGTTATCTCAGCGGCTGCATGCATATACTTTTCATTTTTAATTAACAAAGAAAAAGCAAAACAAAGATACTCACATACAATCCAGTGGAAGAAAGCTTGAGGAATATTTTTATAGCCACTGTTCCCTGTTTCTTGAACATGACATGTTTAAAGGGGGCTCTGCACTGCAACTCATTTTGCATGTATGTTATTATGTCAAGGACTGAAAGAGACTTTAAAATCTATATGAGTCAGTTGACCTTTTGTTCATCAAAGGAGATGTGAAAAAACAATAATCACTGTTCTTGGATTTCTAGCTTGCCCTTAGATTCTGTTGTTTCAGAGAAGAGAAGACACATTTGTGAGTGGAAATGAAGCAATTGGCCTAGGAAAATCATCAGTTACAGAACCCTAATGATGTTTATTCATGCATGCGTGAAAATGGATTGTTTGTTCGTCTAAATGCGTTTAACTAAACCAATGAGCCGAGACCGTATATTTGAATGCAATGTTTTCGGTGTAATTAACTGCTACATAGTTAATTGATGGTTCATCTAGGGACAAAGTAAAACTTGAAGCATAAGCACTGGTTAAATGCAATCCCTAGGCTCATGATTTCGTTTCTTGAGATCACTAATTTGCCTCAATTTCTCTTGCAGTTAATATCACTAGAAATCCTAGAACGTCATGTTTGCGACTAATATCGTTATAAAGTTTAAAACGATAACAATTATTTAGTTTAGTGACATTTAATCTTCATTTTATATAAAAAAAATAATGTATACGAATCTCATCAGCGACAGTTATTAAATGGAAAGTCATATACACCTAGCTAGCCGGGTACATACAAAATTCTTTCTCCAAAAGCTTGATTACTTCTTTTGTGCTGCGGCCCAAGGATTCAAACGGTTTTAATTTTAAAATTCAATATATTTTTTTCCAACAAAAATAAACAATTTATCCATATTATCTTTAATGTACACGTGTAGGAAGCAGATCCTCGCTCGGACGAAAACGCTGACCTTTGACCAAAAAGTAGAGCACGGGAGGGACTTTTGGTCTGAGCGACCGGGAACACAAAGCTTCCATTGTGCCGACCGACACGTGTGCAAAGCGAGACAAGCAAACTAAAATTTAACGCAGAAACCACCGTAAAAAGACTGGGCCCACTCCACAGTACACTTGCCATGTGCGCCATGTGATCTCACCCTATCCTTACCACTAAAATAAGAACATAATCTCCATTTGCTTTTTACACCCTTTTTCTTTGTTCTTTTTTTTTCTTTCTATTTTTGTAGGTATGGGCCGTAGGGTAAACAAACCCGACCAATAAAAAAAAACTCATATGCCCATAATTTAAATTAAAAAATACAGAAAAAGAAAAAGAAAAATACCCATAAATAAAAACATTGAGATGTGATTTGTAGATTATTAATTAATAAATAATTAGATAAATGCATATTATGCAAAAATTAAGTGGGTCAAATTAATTCATCAACCAAAACAAATCCAGGAAAATTTGGTAGCCCACCGTTAGGCCTCTACCTCCTATGCCTAAAGGCCCAACCTACTCCAATTTAAAATCCAATATTATGGGAGGTAATATTGTTCTTAAAAAGTCCAAGATTGCACTTCAAAATATCTTTCTAAAACCTAAATTTACTTTTAATATATTAGTCTCTCAACTCGTTCTCGCGCGCGTCTATAATTTTTTTTCGTTGTAGTTATCAGAGGACTTGGAAAAAATAGATGACTTGCATTAACACAAAGAGCTCGATTTAGTACGCATAAATCGAGAAATGGTCCACATTGACATTACCTAAAAAGAGAGCTGAATTTGGTGAGTAGGGTTATATTGAAGAAAAGTAGGTACAATCCACCCCTATGAAATTTCCCATCACACCATAACATTGCATGCAATCAATTTGCCTTGTCGATGATCAAAACCATAGAATGATGGATCCAGCTTTTTGACACGTGGGTGAAGCTCCTCTGATTGATCATGCCTTACGATAAGTCACTACGATGATCTAAGCCTTTTGCATTGATCAGGCCACGCAAATGGGCATCCGCTGGCCCCCCAGTTTCACGTAAAGTCACATCCAGATAATCATTTTACCCACAGTAAAACACTGTTGCACAAAAACCATTGGAACAAAAATATATAAATAAACCCCAAAAAATATGAATTTTTTTTTAAAATTAAAAAATTAAAAAAATTAAAGATTTTGGATCTTGAGTGAATTAATATGAAAAAATCATGCGGTACGGGATGAACACAAAAATGCGTCTGTCTTTGACAACAAAAATGTGGGACTCTCAAATGTTTGTGGATCCCATAATATGACAGAAATTGTGTCAAATTCACGATTTTTTTCTGAATTCCATAATCCACGTTATGTCAGAGGTGGACTTTGTTGTCTCTCACACAAATAATTTTATGCATTAGAAGGATTCAGCGGAGTGTGGAACTAAATATAGAAAATGGTTAGTGTCTTTTTGATGGTAGACACAAACATATACACATGAACATTGTTTCTTGTTCATTTATTTTGTATTATCTTATAATTCGAGTGAAATTAGGATTACTAACGTTAGAAAATCTCTGCCAACATGGTTTATCCTAATGAAAAAAAGGTCTTTACTTGTATATCAGTTAATCTTAGGTTCAAATATTCATGGTGCATTAACGTAACAGTGTGTGCGGGTAAACTTCCTTCTTTTTTAACTATGGGGCAAAAAAAGTGTTAAAAAATATATCAAATTTGAATGATTTATCGCTTTAAAGTGAAATTGGAGATGCTAACCACCTAAACTTCTTGCAATAATAGACCTAAAAAAAGAACTTACTGCAATAAAGTTTTACTTTTCTTGGCAGAGGAGTTAACTTTCAAAAAGGAGTACCTCTAAATTGATCCTGTAGAATCTAATCTTTTTCCTTTATCTCCCTCCTCACCTCATCCTTCTCTCATAGCTGCATTGCTCTGAAGCTCCATAAAGGTCATTTTCCCCGAGCCCTAGAAATGCACAGTTGCTTGCGGCAGCATCACAAGTTAAGTGAGATTGTGCTGCATTAAAAGTTGCCTCTTTCTTGCTTGGACTGACCTAAGTAGCCCCATGACGTCTGCTTTGGAACCCACCACACTAAAATACTATTATCTTGTAATATTAAACAACCAAAATAGATTATTATAAACCAACAAAAATTTCCCAAAATTTTAACTTTCACCTCAACATTTTCCTCATATAAATAATTATATTTTAAAATTATAAAAAAATAATAAAAAAATTATGGTGGACCTCTCGAGGCAAAGAAGGCCCAGGTGATACCCACTGCCACACTCATCAGCAACCTCCGTTGTATTTTTTTTCCAACTCCTTATAAATACCAATGCTCTTCCGTAAGTGACTCAGTCTCCAAATTACTCAGCAAACCCACTGCTTTCTCACTTTGCTATATTCTGTCTTTCTCTTTCTCTGTTCATCGAAGCCAAAGCCAAAAAAAAACCCCAAGAGATCAAAGTTATCAACTTTAAAGCACCCACCTTTCAATTTCCAAACAAAATCCGGTCTTTCCTACATTCATGGCTTCTCTGTCTGCTACTGCTGCCACTACAAGTTCTCATCACCATCCACCGCCTTTCTACTTCGATGAGAAGTGGAAGCTGTCAAAGAAAGAAGGGTCGTCGAGATCGAGCCGTTCATCTTCTTGCCCTCTCATGAAAAGCTCATCGCAGTCGCGGAGAAGGTGTTCTTTTAGCAGAAAGTGTGCGAGGTTGGTGAAGGAACAGAGGGCTCGATTCTACATCGTGAGGCGCTGCGTCACTATGCTCATCTGCTGGAACGATTACAGCGATTCATGAGAATGTTTGATGGACGAAGAAAACAGAGGGAAAACAGAGAAGGGTCTAGAGAGAGAGAGAGAAAAGGGCAAAGGCACAATCTTTTTCCTCTGTTTGTGTTAGATCTTTTTGGGGTTTGTTTGCCTCAGAAAACCCGGTTCAGTTTCAGCCTTTTTTCTTGAGGACTTGGCAGGAAGAGATAGATTTATACTTGTACATAAATTTTTGCTTTGTTTTTCTCGTTTATGGGTTAGATTTTTTTATTTGGGCTGTCAATCTCCAAACAAAGGAGATGGTTTCTTGATGTTATATCCACTGCGACTATCTGAGAATCATGAGAAGGATTTCAATGAAAATTAGTCAATTAGAACTTTGTGGTCAAATTCTAATTCATCCCCATCGCCATTCCCTTCTTTTCTTTTTCATTTTGTTTGCCATTATGGTTTTGATCAGTTCTTGGTTTTCTGGGTTTACTTGAATTCTGAAATGGATTTGAAGTGATGGGTTTGGTTAAGATATTTTATTCAGCAAAAAGATGGGGGAGATTCCATTCAACTATATTGCAGCTGATGGAATTGTGGATCTGGTGAGCTTGGCTGACACAAGCAGTATTAAATCAATTATTAAATTTGCATCTTCCCATTTTTGTAAGTTTTAAATTGAATCATGGATGTTAGAGATCAATATAAAAATGGGGGCAAAGTCTCAGTAGAAGATGGAGCAACATGGGAGAGAGAGAGAGGGAGAGGCTCTCCAGAATTTGCACAAAAGATGCCTCCTTTCTTACATTACAATTTCAATGTTGTACAATTTTTGGTAAAAATAAAATAAAATTTTGTGTTCAAAATCTGTCACTTCTATGAATAAGGCTGATGTTGCTGGAGAAGTAATTGGGAAGGCTCTGCTTCCAATGCCTGCTGGTGGTCGAAATGACCAATTTGTCCTGGGTTTGACCAGTTGAGGACCACTTTGACCTCCTATCTGGTGTATCTGCGCAGGGGCAGTTTCGAAACCCCTTACTGTGGCTTCATCGTTTGTGTATATTTGCCATCAGATTCCCAAACTGCTCTGCTCAACACGTGACGTGTCCGATTAGCACGCATGTGTGGGGGTATTTTCGTCATTTTATCAATTTACAGCTGGTTTTGGTTCTTCGTTGTAGTTTTTATACTGTGGGTTTCGTGGTGTTGTGTGTAATGTGTCGTCATGGATCTGACCATTCGTTAAAATAAGGAAGCTGTTGGAAATCTTAAAGCTGAAAATTACTAAAATAAGTAAGCTGCGCAGTTAAATACCAGACTGTGGAAATTTGAAATATTTTTTTATAAATATAAGTGTCACAAAATTCAATTGCTTTTTCTCTTTTTTTTTGGTATTTGCCAAAAAAATAATGTGAATTATGGATATGCTCGACTGGGATTGGCAAGTTGGCACAATGGCTGACAAGGCCGCCCAACAGCTACACATGGTTTCACACACTCAAAAGCGCTTCCTTGTTAAGGAAAAACTGAAAAGAAAAAAGCACTAATGTTGCCCTAAGTAGATAATTTCCTCTTTAAGTCTACATGAGACCACTATCCCCACAGTTTTTATTGAGATTAAATTTGATCGAGTCCGGTATAACGTGTTATGCATACTAACTTAGCCCGACGTGAAACGAGTCGAATCTTCTAGTATTGTGGTTGCATTGCTGCGATTATTTACTCTCTCTTTTGTACAAGTGTCGCTATCAAATTAAGACTTATTATATATTTAGATTTGACCCTACAATAAGATACGCATCTTTTTAAAACTAAAATAATCAGAGGTTAAGTAAACACAATGTGTGATGTGATTGACAAACTGCCATTTCCAGCTGGCGAATTACTTAGCGCTTTAATGACATAGGTTCGAAATTCGTTGGAAGCACTTTGTGACCAGAGACAAGTCGAACATCGAGCAGGGATATTAATTCCATATTTCAAGTGTGGCGACTCCTCAAGGTATTTACCACCAATCAAAAAACAAAAAACATTATTATTTTTGAGGTAGGGTTGAGTCAAACTAATCATGACTCATGCATTACCATTTCCCACGCTTTTCTTACTTCATTATTAGTACCGAATCAAACGCCACAAAGATTACAAGGTCGCTTCTCTATTGTTTTGTTTTGTTCTTTGTTCTTTTTCTCTCTCTATTTTTTTGTTATTGTCTTTATTTATCTGATGGTTGTAACTATCGGATGAGGAGGTCAAACATAAACTTTTGCTTTCCTCGATATGATCTTTTTTTATGCACTTTAGTTTGAGGCAATCAAACAAACATCAATTCAAAAGATTATATTTGATTAAGGTTTTGAATGTTAATCATTGGAATTCAGCTTGGCGTGCTAAAGGACCGAAAAAGAACAAAAAGAAAGGGAAAAAATGTTATCACATTGGTTTTTTGGAGAGGTAGTCCAAGAACCCAATAGATTCAACAAGGAAAAGTGAGAATCAAATCTTCACACAAATCTAAACCCACTTTAATTTAGATGATTAGAAATGTAATTAGTGGAAGTGTGGATGTCCCTTGGACCATATGTCAAATGGGTTTCTTTTTCTTCCATTTCATTAACTTTAATAATTCATATACTATATACACCGAATAGATCGATGATTTTAGTAAAAATTACGAATCACATACTCAAGCGTCCATTTAGTTGATACATATGAACGATGAATTAATAGATTAATTGATATTGTGCAAAGTTCATCGTTCAATGGTAATTTTAAAAAATAAATTATTTTAATTATGATATGTGCATGGTAAAGATATGTTAATCGCAAGAAGGTGAACAGTGTCCTATCTAATCACTATTTAATATGTTAATATCATACAAATGCTAGAGTTGAGCTAGTGCCAGTAGTTGCTAACCATCAACGCATTGTTAGACCTACTTACATCAACGACTGATAATCATCCCACGCTAGAGCGGTTAGTACCTCCACTCCAAATACCTTTTTTTTTCTTTTGGGGGGGATGAAATACTGTGCTTGATTTTTTATAAAAATTGTTGTCAGATTTTTCTAGAGACCGTCTCTCCCACGTGCGAATTAGAGTTTGACCCAAACGTCACTCAATAGCTGGAAATTTACAGTAACAGTGACAGCTTCGTTAAAAGCCCAGTAAATGAAACTGATCCAAAAGTGGCCCAGAGTAGAGTTAGGAAGCTTGTATTAGATTCTTGTAGGCAATGTCTTGTAGTTTACAAGCCCTGGCCCACCCTCTTATCCTTTCTCTTGGCAATGATCGATATATTCATGGTTGTGGGCCCATCTAAGGTTTTCCAATCCTTTTTTTTCTTTTTTTTGGGTCGAAAAGGTTTTCCAATCTAAGAAATAAAAAATAAAGAAAAAGGAAAAATAAAGGCCCTTAAGTATAATGTTGGCAATTGGCATGAGTTTTGATATGATATGACATGATGCAGGGGTGCCTTGGTGGAACATTCTGGAGCGTTGGGTCAATAGTCACATCAGGTACACGCTAGCGTGCACGACATGATAAACACATGGAATCTAATCTTGGACACGTGTATCTGAACACGTGGCACCTTATCGTTAGATGATAACCCTAATCAAAGAAACGTTCTGGGCCAATTTTGGACCCTTTTTCTCTCTTGTGGGGTTTCTTCTGGGACTCGAGGTCACGCGGGGGTCTGGGATGGGATGTGGAAGGAACACTTCCATGAAGCAGGTATTATTGTTTAGCTATTTTGGCGTGATAACTTTTTTACGTGACATAGATAGAGGATAGCAAAATAAAGTTACCCTCGTTACAACCAAGTTTTTCTTAAGGTTAGGTAGGTACTAGGGTCCTACGTGGGTCCCGGTGTTGCATGCTTCATGCAGTGTCAAAATATCAACTTGAGTTTAGTCCTTTATATGAAATGAAAAGGGCCGAAAAGAAAGAAGAGAAAAGGGCCGCATTTAGGATTAGTCCAACAACTTCTTAATGGGCCGTAGTCAAGCCTTTTAATTTGTACGACGGATAAAGACTAGTCGTTTTCGAATCTCGGGATAGGCTATATTATGTCATGCGGGTTGCTAAGGGAATGCTTTTTGTGTGTGTGTGTGTAGTTTTATTGTGTTTTGGGCCTCTGTTATCCACTAAACCCTAAAACCACTCCCTCATCTCAAGTTCTTTTCTTCACTCTCAAAATGAGTTCTAAGATTTTCTTTGTACTCATCAATTTGTTCCTAATTTAGGTTTAGTCTCAAGTCTGAATTCTGAATTTGAAATTAAATCAATATCATCATCATGCTTCATCACTTATTATAAGTAAAATTCAAAAGTTGTTGGTGGGTCAAAGAATTAAGCAAATTCATTTTTCAAGAAAACTGAGATGTATATGTGTACAAAAAACTTGAAAAGTAAGTTATCTTACTATAAAGAAAGCATTATTCACACTCCCCTATATTCATGCCCTTTCTAAATCTTAGAATGCATGATGTTTTGGGGCTTCCCTATAAACTAGAAATAGGCTCATTTTGCTTTGGTAAAAAAAATTGACTAACTGCCAATGATGATTGGTTTAGTTGGTAAGGTTCCTGCATTATGTGTAGCCCCACTAGTGTTCGAGTTCCACTGTCGGCAGTCTTCGTTGGTGCGCGATTTGTAATTTCATATATAAATTCATATCGGTGGCAACTGTTAGTTGGGTTGGGTGCCACGCGTAAGTCCTTCCAATTCAAGATTGTGGATCTGTCCTGACGTTGGTGATGAGGGTACCCCACCTAATCTTTCTTTCACTTAAATTTTCAAAAAAAAAAAAAAAAAAAAAAAATTTAAGTCTTTATAGCTCCATCTGTGTGCTCAGCCACTTGTACTTTTCTAACATCACTTGAGCATCTGCTAAATCACCCGCCACAAAGTGCGCGTGGAATTGGCATCGAATCATCGTGAATATAAGAACGCCAGGTTACTTTGTTGAGCACAAACTTTACCAAACGCCCATGGCCACCGAAGCTCCCGGCTATACGACCCGATTTATCGTCTCCCTTTCAACCCGACAACCCGATTGCCCTGCTCCGTTTCGGAAGCTGCTATATTCCCTCGGAACGGGTCAGTCCTCCCCCCGACTCTCTCTCTCTCGCCCAAAACCACTGTTTATTTATTTATTTTTGCTTTCCTTGTTAATTTGGGATTGATGATAGTACTTGTTGAACTCTAGTGAAAACCTTAATCTGATTGATTTCGATTCTATTTACTTGTTCATTTCTTTTCTGAAGAAGAAAATTATTTCTTTTGGAATTTTTTATTTGCAATTGGGGTTTTGATAAACCTTAGATAGATTACAGGAGATATAATGTTAATTGTTATACACTTGTTCTAGTAGTATGAATGCCATAGAATTAAATTAATTAATCCTTAATTAATTATAGTTGTGCCCAAAAGATAAATCCTTTTTGGATGGTTTTTGATGGATGAGTAATGATGTGGTAGCTTTGCCTGTAAATTGGGCTTATTTCCTATCCATTTTATCTTGTTGTGGCTCAATGTTTCCTTTTTATGACACGAACAGACCATTGAAGATTGCAAGTGTTGTAGCAATGAGTGATGCAATTGATTTGAGCGGGGATGGAGGGGTCCTCAAGAAAATTGTAAGGCATGCAAAACCAGATGCAATTGCTCCAACCCAAGACCTTCCCCTCGTTGATGGTATGAACTATATTATAGTGCTGTTGCTGATGTTTATTTGTTAATGGTGTAGTAACAACATTTTCTAATTAACTCGAGCGAAATGACCTAGCAAACTTGTCTTTACTCTGTGCCTATCATCACATACTTTATGTTGGGCAGTTCATTATGAAGGCATTCTTGAGGAAACCAATGAAGTTTTTGATACGACACATGAAGATAACACGGTTTTCTCATTTGAGCTGGGGAAGGGCAGTGTAATCAAGGCTTGGGATATTGCAGTGAAAACCATGAAGGTCAAACTATGTTTCTGAGTTTCTCTTTAAGAAATTTAGTAGCTGTTCAAGTCTCCTGTTACATGTTTTATCTTTTGTTGGTTTCACCAGGTTGGGGAGATTGCTAAAATCACTTGCAAGCCAGAATATGCCTATGGAAGTGCGGGTTCTCCACCAGATATTCCACCAGAGTAATTTCATTGCTCTAACTTTTCTATCAAAGTTGTTCTTAGAGAAAACAATCAAAGATGCGAGTAACTTTGTGAACTTAAAGATATACATGTCCATTGATATTCCAAAACAACGTTTTTGGAGAGATTAGTTCTATATGTTGATAGGACCTTGACCAGGCTTATTTCAGTCCCAAACATGGGATTGTATAATGCTTATTGGCAACAATTACATCCAAGCCTTGAAATATGAAATAAGAGTTATTAGGTTGTTGATCTTCGACACCCAACTTTAAACCAAGATATCCAATATATAGATGTAGAATCTTCAGAAGCATGTTGGTAAGAAAAGTATTAAAAAAATCCCGGTGCTAAGACTCCTTTAGGGTGGGGGTCTTCACCCACCCAATACATCCAATTTGTGCATTAAGCATTTTGGTTTATGATTACATCCAAGTGTTCATAGAAGTCTGCATCAGTTTGCTTTGTCAATCGTCTTTATTTCTTATCACAAATGGTGTCTCTTTACCATTTCTTTGTAACTAATGCATAGTCCATTACAAATATATTCTGCAGGGCAACCCTTATATTTGAGGTGGAGTTGGTGGCTTGCAATCCACGGAAGGGTTTAAGTTTGGGCAGTGCCTCAGAAGAAAGGGCCAGGCTAGAGTAAGTTTAATGCTTTTATCTGTTCCGTGACTTGTTCTCGAGATACAGTGCAAGTCATATTGTTATCGTCATTCTTATTGTTGGTTCTGTTGAGATCTACCAACTTTCATAAACAGTATGATGGATTAAATTGCATATTGGTACTCACAACAGAGAACTGAAGAAGCAAAGGGAGATGGCTGCTGCAAACAAAGAGGAAGATAAGAAGAAGAGAGAAGAGGCGAAAGCTGCTGCTGCTGCTCGTATTCAAGCTAAGTTAGATGCCAAGAAGGGTGGAAAGGGAAAAGGCAAAGGAAAATAGGCGCTTAAACACATCTTTGCATGAACGTGATCCTTCATATAAATAAATAAAAATTTATTCATGAGTTAGACAGAACCGTGACCTTTGTGCAACTTCACAGTATGACTTTGAATGATCTATTATTGTATCTACTATAAGCTTATGTCAAGCATATTTGAGGTACCAATGGGTTATTGTACTTCCCTTTTTTAATATGGAAATATCTGAGATATTGTATTTCAAATCCATGCTTGTGTTTACCCATGCTGAATAATTGCTTTTCTTTACCGCCGGGTTAGATTGAAAATTTCGATTCTGATAAATTTCTGAGTTTGGGAGTTTTAATTCTAAGTGAATTTCGGAATTTTCAGATCAAATATGTCTACCTCTTGGAAACTCAAACCATTAGGTCCAAAACAAGTCCCGAGCAAACAAAGCTTCTGTCATAAATTTCGGACCAATCAGATAATTCTATTAATACGGATTTGAAGAAATCAAATCAAATACACAAAACTTCTTGTAGTGAGGACATAATATTCTGCCATTCCAATGCCTATGTCACGATAATTACAGCAATGCTGGGCATAAGCTCTCAATCTTATCCATGTGCCTAACTATGCAGGTAGTACATCTACTAGTTACAATGTTAATAATCAAACCATGTACGAAGGATCCATTCCACCTTGTCCATTTTCATGCCACCCCACCGATCCTGCTCTGAATTTACACACTGGGCAGGTTCCCTGTTGCCTCAGCCAAGGATCTATGCAACTAGCATGGAACTGCAGCAAAGCAACGGAACAATTATATCAAATCAAGATTTTTGAATACAAAACATCATTACAAAGTGCATTTTATAATATCATGGATCACAAAAACATACCAAGACAACCCCTTACATTTTAAACTCAAATTACTTACAGGTTTTGGTATGCAAAATGATTCCACTAGTCAAGTTAGCTAAAGATCAATTCCTCAGATGCTGTGTTTTCTGTTCATATTTCGTGTGAGTGTGACAGTGTGTGCATGTGCGTGGGTATGCGTTTGCACATGTGCATTTTGTGGAATCAATGCAAATAATTTACTCTAGCAAGAACTCCCTAAAAATCCCACAACTGAAAAATATAGGAAATATAATACCAACAATGTTAAGCCACTGAAAAGAGAAACTGAACCTGATGCATGCAAGGAAGGCTGCGGATTAGTTCTCCCACGTTAACTTGCTCCAAGCAAACACTGCAAGTCAGTTCATCTTCTGAGGCTTTTGTGCTCCCAACTGTGTTAGCAGTTTCTTGCTTCTTCTGCTAAATAGAACAGAGAAAATACAATGGTACAGAGATAAATGGAACGCTATCATATGATATGAGATTATATAGTATGTTAGAAATTTCCTGTCAGAAGGGCAGAAATTACGAAGGGACAAAGGGATAATTTATAGCGAATACCTCAGAGGGTGCTGAAGATGAAGCTTGTTGAATTGATGAAGCACCACTGCATTCAGAACAGAACCATATAAAATATTAGGCAACTATGATTCAATTCATTCTTCCATTTGCCTCAAAATAGTATGAACATGTGGGGCTTCGGCCCCGCCATCATACCAAAATAATATGAGCATGTAAATAACAGAACAAAATCTCTCAATTCTTTTAGTCCAAATCCCCTCAGTTGTCAATGCTTCTAATCAACCACTCAGGAAAAACAGAGTGGAACCCTATACAACACTAAACTTAACTCTCAGCTCCAAATTTGTGGAACTAAACTCATTTATGTATTATAAGCGTAAAAAACACACTACAGATTCAATACAACACTAACTCAAGCCAAATTTATATGTTCAAACAGGTGCATGCACAAATAAGCATACAAAACATAACTTATTAAGATGTGAAGTTCACTTAATTAATTACAAAATGTCTTTTTGAGAAGGATGGAAAACCAACAAAAATAAGGAATCTATTTAACATCTGCCAAAACGCTTGTGCAACAACCAAGCTCACAAATAAAACTGGAGAACTTACGTCTGAAGACCCATAACCTTGTATTTATGGACTGGAAGAGCATTTATCTCTTCCTCACTCATAGAAGAAGCTGCTGGAACATTATCAGAATCCAAAGCTCGCAAAGTTTCATAATCTGGTATCGAACAGAAGAAAATGTTGACATAAAACTAGGGGCCTAGGAAAAGTATTAAGAGAACTAAATATAAAGCCATGGTTTGGCTAGTGAAACTTATAATCTCCATGTATTGGTTTTCAAGACATAAAAGTTAAAACTCATTCTAGATGGATATAACTACCAAACCTAGGTCATCAAATTCCCGATCAAGAAGTGCAAGCTGAAGTCTGAGGCCTTGAAGGCGCCCTCTTGTTGCTAGGGCTATGGATGGTGGCACATGCAACCGCAATTCAGTATGACCAAGAAGGCCGCTGGCTGCTGCTGCATGAGCCTGTGCTTGAGCTTGAAGTTGTTGACAGGTTGCGTACATCCTTAACGTTGTGGCCATCAAAAAGACACCAAGAACTAGCCAGAGCTACATACATCAGTTTGAAAGAAGGATTTTTAACTTCTCATAAAACTACCCAAAAGAACAGCGAACTTGACCAGTAAAACTAACAAACCAATTTACACGCTCAGAGAAAGACAATACCAGGAAATTAGGTGACATCTGGTGCGAGTTCAGTATCATGAATAACAAAAGAACTGGAAGTAAGACAGCATATACACAGAAATTAGTAATAACTAACAAACTTACAAACTAAAAAGACAAAAGGGTAAGATTAAATGTACCTGTGACAAGAAAAGCAAGTGAGTTGGAATTGACAGAACGTGATGCATGAACGCGCTGATACAAAACAGCCAATATCAATATGAATTAATAGATAATAGCACCTTTACCCTCTTTCCCCTAGGAAATTTACACACACCACCTACAATGATTGAACCCCAGAACTCACCCCTCCACCATTGCTCTGAGATTACATACACAAACCCACCATGGATAAACCACAGAACTCACCCTCCATCCTTGTTCTTAAGGAGGAGAAGATGCAATTGTGTCTAAAGGCAATGGCAACTGATAAAATAGACAGAAAATGAACTGCCCCAACTTTCACTAAAAACTACACACACAAAATTTCAGAAATACAAGACATGTACCATTGCACGCCGCTCTGGTATAAATTCCGGGAATCCACTTTCAATATCTGCTCTTGTCCCCCGGAAAACAAAACTCATGTCTGTAGGGTTTAGAAGAGCTCTGCTGAAAATATTAAGTCACTGATTTTCAAGTTCACTGAAATTAAAACGCCAAAATGTTCATTCAGTAAGCGTCATAATTCATAAACCAAAAGAAGCTAGTTTACGGGAAACCATGGTAAAACCAAACTCAAGAGTGCCAATTAAGATGCAATAAACAAATTATTGGTCACAAAAACGTAGACACCATTTGAGCAAATACTGGAAATGACCCACATGGTTTGGAAGAAAACGCATTGCACTAAAAATTCCCAGCTAAACAAAGTAGAAACCTTAAATAACGTATAAAAAAAGGTATCAAGCTGTGAACTCCATAAGAATTCCCTGCTGTTAAGTGTATATAGCGAACTAAACTAAGCAAGCCGATATAGTTTCCGCCACAGAACAAAAAAACAAAAATCCAATATATTATAAATTTCGGATAGAGAATCAGTCATCAACAAAACCCTAATCCCAAAATCACATTCCCTTAACTACAAAAAGAACCAAAAAAAAATTAGTCTTCACATAAAAGCAGTTATTCAGGTAGCGATCGCACGCTGGGAAACATTAAGAATAACAGAGGCTGATTGGAAGAAGCTTTCAAAAGCCTGTGATTAAGAAAATTAAAGCAATCACAGAATAACGACGGGACAGAAAATGTAAAAAGATGGAGAATTACCAAAAAGAAATTACTTCAGATGGTTCAGATCCCGGGAAACGGCGGCGTTATCTTGAAAACGCCATGCAACGTCTCGGCGGGAGATGAAAGAGCGAGTTGCAATGTACAGAGAGATCTGATTCGACTCGGACGCGTTTGCCGCGGAAGCTTTAAAGCTTTGTCTATCGTCACTGTCCGGTTAAATCTAAGATTAGTTAATTACTATTGCCGTTACGACACCGTTTCTTCTGGGTTGTCTTTAACGGCTTCTTTGACTGCGACATCTGACTCCATTCGAGGACTTTCTAGCTTCCACCTAGGCCTCATCATTTGGCCCGCGGGTTCATGGGCAGATGGGGGCCCACCCGGCTCATTGGAAAAAAGTTCGGTCTGGCCCGGCCCGGCTTGTTATGGACTTTGAGATGGTCCGGCCTGTCTTGGGCTGGGCTAGGCTTGGGCTTGGGTGTCTGAAGCCAGATTCGGCTCATAAGCCCAGCCTGATTAAGCCCAAGAAAGCCTAGCCCGGCCCACCCACAAAAGTCCGGCCCGTTAGGCCCGCATACATATATAATTATGTATAAATAAGAGTTTAGGATTGGGATTATATCACTTAAATCACATATATAATTTGTTTCATTTCATTTACTTTTCTTTACTCATTCCTAATTTATAATTGGATGATTAGCACATTAATTTGTGTCAATTATTAATACAACAATTATATATATATATAAATAAGATGAACAATATATCATATCACTAAATATAATCATATCATGAAACATAATCGTACTACTACCACCAAATATAATCATGTTTTTCTTGAACACATCACCAAGCATTTACATATTTATTTATACCATCCTTTAAAAAAAATATCTTTTTGATACTTATTATTTTTTAAAATTATTTCTTAAAACGTATTACGGTCTAATTATGTAATAACCTCAAAAATAATACTTTGTTTTATTATTTTTGTGGAAAATCTTATTAAGTTGTGTGACTTTATTGAGTATTTTATGAATTTGGTTTGATGTGAAAATATTGGAATTAAGTGAGTTTAATCTCAAATTTATACTAAATTGCCCTTATGATTAAGTTTATGATTTTTTTCGAATGAAGTAGACCCGTTTCGGCCTGGCCTGTTGGGCTTAGCCCAGCCCGGCCCAATGGGCTTTCTCAAGCCCGACCCATAGGCACCAGGCAGGTTATGGGCGGCGCCAGGCAGGTCTAGGCGGCGCTAGGCGGATCTGGGTGTCATGTTGGGGCTGGTTCTTTTCTTTTGTTCTTTAAGCCTACTACCTAGCGATTCTTCTTTGAAGCCGATACTTCAAGCAAGAACTGTATCAGATGCACCACCTTTTGACCCCAGCAATATTGTGTCATTGCAGCCACTTTCTTTTAGTCTATTCTTTCACTTCATTTTCTTCTATGTTTATTGATGGGAAACTAAAATTATGGCAGCTCATGTTTAGCAAGTTTGAATTTGATGGGAAACTGAATCCTACTTTTGTGGAAGGGGCATTTAAGCTCCCATTATCAAGCATACGAGCATATCTAACAGAGCCTATTACTCCTAGGTTTCACATTCTTTTCATTTTGTTGGATTATCTTCTTATGACTAAACATAATTGATCTGCTAGGTGCACTTTCTGTTTTAGTGTTTAAAGAATCTCTTTGCTTGTGTTCCGTGTAGGTTCGTACGCGTAGGTTCTGCAGGAGTTACCCGACCTTCATGAGCTGAAGGTTTCATACTAATTCAGTGCAAGCTGTTTGATATTTTTATATATAATCAATGTATCAAAATACCACTTCTTAGCTCTTTTCTGTTCTTTTTATTTTTCTGGGTCAGATTTAGCTCTTTCGATTTTGTACATTGATAAGTTTTGGAGCAGGGGGAGGATTTAATACGGGAAAGTGGAATACCATATACAATTGTGAGGCCTTGTGCATTAACTGAGGAGCTTGCCGGAGCAGATCTCATTTTCGACCAAGGGGACAACATAACGGTATACAATCCAATAGAAGATCACTATTCTCTCTTTGTTGTATGCCTGTGATGACATGTATTGCTCTTTCTTTCCCTTATAATAGTAATAATATCTGAATGTTATGATTTATAGTATTTATATATATGCAGGGTAATATATCAAGAGAGGAGGTTGCTCAGATTTGTGTTGGAAAGCCCCTTTGCATCTGGCAAGACATTTGAGGTCACAGCCCGACTTATGTCCCTTAATTGTGGGTTGTGTGCTGTGGCTGTAATTTGCTATTTTTGGAAGTTAAAAGCTTTTGCAGATTCTGAGATGCTTATAAACTCATTTGCAGGTTAAAAGTGTTGTGACATTTAGTGAGCCGTTTACAGTGGACCCTCAAAATCCACCCCCCGAGAAGGACTAGAATGTTTACTTTAAAACTTTGAAAGATGGAATTACAGGAAAGGAAATCCTCGAACAAGATCCTGTACCAGTGTAATGTTTTGCATACCTAGAGCTCTAATTTCAACCTTAACTCCGTAAGTATAATGGGGCTTAATATACTTCCATTTTCATCTGAGATAATTCTCTCAGCAATGAGTCAATGACTAATGAGAAGAAAATCTGTCAACATATATTAATTCTAACCACATACCCACTCCTTTCATGAATTGACAGAAGTTGCAAGGCCTATATATAATATATATATATATATACTTTGTGTCACACTTTACCCACAGAGAAACAATGGTCGGATGAGTTGTATATTACCAGAACATAAATTCAAGTGGAATCCAAGTATGAGTATATATGATGCTTCCATTTGTTTATGTACTTAGATTCTTTGTTACTTGTTTACCTATAAATTTAATATTCCACAAGTGAAGTTTATGGGGTTCCTGGCTTAGGCACACACCAAGTATCCTGCAAACCCAACACAGCATAATAGCAATTAATTAAGTTTAATTATGAATTTGAAATGATTTTGATATAATTAAGATAATTTGAAATCTTGGTTTAAATTATACTGTTTGGATTTGAGTTACCTCCTTTTCCTGTGGCAGTGGAGGTCCTGATCCTCCTACAAATTTCGAAAGGGAAAGTGAAAGTAAAGTTATACAAATATTTTTGCATATGAAAAGGTGCAAAACTCATTATAGTTATAGACACATACCACTCACAAATTGGCAGCAGGGATTGTAACCTGCAAAAATGGTATAGACCCAAAATGTTTAATTTGCTGAAAAAGAAAGTACAAATTATTATTATGAAATTGAAGGCCTACTTGGATCTGCCAAGGAAATGAGACTAGTATCGTTAAAATGACAATTCCATTGGTTTCTTCCCATCTTCTGGTAGTAAGCATTCATGGCAAATGAGGCATGGTGCACTGGCCTATCCGGGTCATAGCAAGAACCTCCTTTCTTTGTAGGGCTGCAATCTGCATAGTTACAGGCGTAGTCCAGAGCTGACTGCAGTGCTTGTTGTGGTGCTGCTGGCTTTGTCACACACCAAGCTTTCTACAACATCATGTATATATGTAAATTAATTGCTAATTCATTTAAGAATCGTTTCTTTTTAATTCTTACCTGTCCATTCACCAACATCAAAATCTCCCCAAAAAAAAAAAAAATGAACATAAGTGAAAATGTAGAGAGAGAAGAGAGCAGCAAAGGGGTAAAGAAATTACAACAATGTGGAATGCTCTATAGAGTTGTTGAAAATAAAAACATCAACTTTGCAGTTTAAAAGTCTACGAATCTCTACCGTACCCAAGAAGAAGAACAGAAGCAGGAGAGAAATAACAGGACCTGGCAGAGCTAGCTTAGCCATTGCTGCTATGTTATACAAAGTAGTCTAATTTCTATGGTTAACTAATTCATGAAGAGGAAGATGGGATATTTGTAGCAGTGCTGCAGAGGAGGACACATAATGATCATGCAAGAACAACTGAGTAACAATCTGATATGCTCCATTTGTATATAGGCTGGCATTTGTACTTTTGGCCCACCTGTTACACACAATAAATTGCTTGCCTCAGCTTCTTTGGTTTGGTTATAACTTACAACCAAGGTTCAATTAATTCCAGTCTTCCCTATCATATAATTCCAAATTCAACTTAAACAGAAATTTCAGAGAGTGTTACACTTTTCTTTGCCTGGGCTTGAGCTTTCTTTGGTCAGAATTCTCCATTAATTTTTTTTTGGAAGGTTGTAACTGTCAACCTTGGATCCTGAGAAAATTTGGAGAGTTGGTGGAAAGAGATGTGAAGACATCCAAACTTTTCTTCCTTTTTAAAGACATCGAACTTTTCCCTTTATCTGTTGCACCAGTTGAGGTTTCTTGCATTAGAATTAGATTTGTATTCTTACAGAACGATCAAGTTGGTTTTTATCATGGTAATTCTAGACTACAATCCCCACAATGGGTCCATCCCATTCATGAGTAAATTCAAATACCATTTTCCTTTTGATCATGAACACTTCAATGGAGAAATTGATGGTAGGGAGCTTAGGCACTGATTTGAGTAGTTTAGATCATTTATTATTATAAAAATAAAAATAAAAAATTTAAAAAAACCATTATAGCCGAGGGGCTATACTATTTATAAATAAAAAAAGGGACTCGCTTACCGCCTGGACGGCCACGTGTAAAACAAGTATAGCCGTTTGGCTATACGTTTTTTTTAAAGGTTTTTTAGGTTTTAGACATAAAAAAAATTTCACTTTTGGAAAAAGCCAAAGCTTTTTCAAAAAAGACAAAAAAACCGCTCAACTTTCAAATCAAAGACATGCAAATGTATTGGATTCCTTAGGAAATCTAAAAATAAATAAGGGCATTTTTGTCCATTTTTGCTTCTTTTAAAAATTTTCTCTCTCCTTTTGCTTTTTCCAAAATGTCCCTTTTTTTTAAATGCCCAAGTATAGCCGACCGGCTATAGTATTTATAAATTTAAAAAGGGGACCGGCCTAGCGCCGGAGAGCCCACGTGTGAAAACACGTATAGCCCGGCGGCGATACTAATTTATTTTAAAAAATGCCCTATTATAGCCGCACGGCGATACTATTTTGAAAATGCGCAAAGAGAGTATAGCCAAGCGGCTACACTATTTGCTATTAAAGAAATGTCAATTCCTTCAAAATTATAGAAGGCCATATGAGTCCACGAATATGGCAAATCACAAAATTGCACTCTCACCACACACACGTAGGAAACACATACGAGAGAGAGAGAGAGAGAGAGAGAGAGAGAGAGAGAGAGAGAGAGAGGAGTTTTATGCAAAGTGTGAGAGGGTGGGGTGGAGGGATGGTGATGCAATGGGTTTTGGGTGGGCGGAGGAGCCTGCTGCGCAGTAAGGGTTTAAAGTTGTTAGAAGGGGCGGCAAGAAATGAGAAGAAAATCTGTCAACATATATTAATTCTCTCTCTCTCTCTTATTGCAGGTGTATATACTCGTAGCAGATGAAAAGCATAGGCTTCTACAGGAACATACATAAGCGACCAAGATTATAAAGTTCTGTAGGACAAATCTACATGGCTTAAAATGAGTCTGGGCAGCGCTAGGTGTTTCTGGGCGGCGCTAGACGGGTCTGCGAGGCGCTAGGCGGGTCTGGGCGAGTCTAGGCGGTGCTGGGAGGGTCTAGGCGGCGCTAGGCGGGTCAAGGCGGCGCCAGGCGGGTCAAGGCGGCGCTAGGCGGATCTGGGTGCCAGGTTGGGTCTGGTTCTTTTCTTTTGTTCTTTAAGCCTACTGCCTAGCGATTCTTCTTTGAAGCTGTATCAGATGCACCACCTTTTGACCCCAGCAATATTGTGTCATTGCAGCCACTTTCTTTTAGTCTATTCTTTCACTTCATTTTCTTCTATGTTTATTGATGGGATTCAAAATTATGGCAGCTCATGTTTAGCAAGTTATTTGATGGGAAACTGAATCCTACTTTTGTGGAAGGGGCATTTAAGCTCCCATTATCAAGCATACGAGCATATCTAAAAGAGCCTATTACTCCCAGAGGAAGATCAGGATTTTGTGAGCAGGAGGGATTGCTTATCATCCATGATGAGATTAGCTCCAGCTTGTTCCGCAGAATTTCCAGAAGAGGATTAACATGGAAGATGTTGTTGTCACACTCAATAAAATCAAGATTAAGTTTTTGAAGGACTCTGCTGGAGTGCAGCCTTAGTTTTTCTAGTGTTTTTGTTTTTGTTTTTTTTTGTTCTGGATCCATTTCTTGTTGTTTTCGATCGGAAAAGACTGCATTAATTTGTCATAAAGAGTTGCCTTTCTCCAATAATCTTTTCTTCTTCTGTCTTCATGTGGTGGAAAACCCAATTTGTTCCTCCACGATTACCTTACTTACAAACAACGTAAGTAAGAGCGTAAGTGGCCATGACAGAATTTTATGTGCAAAACATATTCTCTCTGGGTTTTGCTGATGGATGCCAATACATTGCAGCACTGATTTTACACACCAAAAAAAGCACTATCATAGACTGAAGTTCATTTGCAACTTTGTTGACTCATCTAATCCAATTTGTGCTTATATAATAATACTATTAACACCCAAAAGTTAATGTGAATTGTACATAATCAGAGATTATATGACCACGGTGCAATTTTCGCAAAGACCCCGTTTTTTCCTCTTTTCGGATGGTAAATATTTCTCAAAAAGGAATAGAAAAGGAATAAATCAATCAATCAAATTCCGGGAGGCGTCATGAAGTGCTTCTTTAGGAGTTATTCCATTTGTCCATATTTCGAGAAAAAGTATCTCCTGTTTTTCATATATATATATAATAAAAACCAGCACATTTTGCAACATGCATGCTTACCTTCCTTATCAACAAGACCCCAAAGGACAAAGCTGTGACTGCCATGCTTGACTTTAGAGAATCTCAATCTTCAGTTCAATGTCATTTTCTGTATGCTCAATCCCCTCTCTGTACACTATACTTGTTGTGCTCATCTTTTCAGCACACCAAAAACAACTTCAAAGATAAGCCAACTCATTACTCTGGTTTATTATATGCTAGTTGTGCATAATGGGCACACCGTATGGTTGAAACCGCGTTTGGCCACAAGCCTCAAAAAACCAGAATAGCACACTTTACAGAGTTGAGAAGGGAGAATTCACACTCCCTACAGACAGTCCAGTCCCCAATCACAAGCCTACCAAGAGTCTTTGTATTTAAGTAGCAGAATGAAAAGGAATATTTTCCAGAGAGCATTTGCAACTGCAAAAACTTGTCAGCCTTTGGTGTCATTTTTAATAATATCACTGGAAAAATCCCATCAAACATAGGAAATCTTGTTAATCTTCAGATTTTTGTAGCATTTGGCAACAGATTGGTAGGCTCAATGCCTGCTTCCATTGGAAAGTTGGGGGTTTTGCAAGTTCTTGATTTGAGTCAAAACCAGTTGTCAGGTGTACTGCCCAGGGAACTAGGGAACTTGTCAAATTTAGAATCACTTCTATTGTTTCGGAATTCCTTTGTTGGGAACATTCCTCAAGAACTAGGTCGTTGTAAGAAGCTTGTTAAATTTGTTGCTAGCCCGGCCCGGTCCATTGACGAGCCCTACTTCCACCACACAACACATCCCCTAAGAAACGCACCGTTTTGCAAATGCGAAATCATATTTATTTGTTACTCGCGATTTTATTTTTTTCAATCCTTTGAATTTGGGAAACGAAAATTTGTAAGAGTTATTGTATTCTGTCTAAATTTAAGGAAATGTTTTTGTATCTTAATTTGTTACTGTGGAGGGGGATTTCTCAAATTCCACAGTATGTTGTTCTTTGAAGTATTAAAATTGCATCGTTTTTGTTTTGAAGTAGCAATGTTCCCTAAGAAACAACCATTTAGAAGTCAAAATAGAAAAAGAAAAAAAGAGAGAGAAGAATTAACTAAATCTCAAAAGGGAGCTATGGATAAATTTCTTCTTAACAAAACAAATAGTTCACTTGATAACTCAACTGAAGATTTAGTCTATGAATCTGAACAGTAAAATCATGTTGAAGAATTTGTAGGAATTGATAATGATTTAGTTAATGAATCTGAACAACAAAATCATGTTGAAGTTTGAAGAGGTTAGATCTTGTAGGGGGGCTTTTTTCTTCCGACAGCTACTACAGGCCTGGGCTGCCGTAAAGAGCAAAATGGAAGAAATTCCCCTTGAGCCTGAGTTCGAAGATCAAGCCCCAATAGTGCTTTGAAAGGACAGTAGGGCCTTAGGAAACACCTCGGTTACCTTTACCAACGAAAATAACAATAGCTTACAGATAAATTCTTGGCTTGGCACGAGAAGCTTGTGGCATGGGAGCAAAATTGTCATAAGTTTAGCACTGAAGAGAAAACTAAGTGTTCCTAGGAGAAAGATGGGGTGTTAAGGTTGGAGAGAAATGATTTTGCAGAGAGGTTTGGTTAAGCATGAGGAAAAAGAGAGAAAAATGTGGCTTGAGTGTTTTTCCAGCAGCTTGACAGAGACTCTGTCAAGTGTCAGAACAGCTTGCCAAGAGGGAAAACTAAGGGAAAATGATGGGCTGAGCACGAAATTGCTGGGTTTTGGGAGTAAGAGAGGAAGCTTGCTCTCTGATGTGGTTGATGCTTGTTGGGTAGAAGAGGCCCCCTTCTATAGCCACTGGAAGCTGACATTTTCCAAGAAATCCTAATGGTTTCTATCCAATTTGGCCAAGTCTTTCCCTTCTTTTCTCCTCTCATCTCTTCAATCATCCTTTTTTGGTGAAATTCACTCTACCCATTTGCACAAAATCAGGGATTTTTGGGAGTTTAAGGCCCTTTTTCCCGCGGCTGTTTCAGACTCCTATTTTCAGCCATCTTTCTTCCTTCTTTTCTCCCCTCTTCCAAGGCTCAATCTGATGAGGGAAAAAAATGGGTATGCATGCTGGTTCAAAAGGTGATCTGCGCTCCAATATCCCTTGGTCATTTGGAAGTTTCTTGCTTGAAAACTGGTTCCTTCCCCCCAGCAACCAGCGTGGTCTTCCATGCTTCTTCGTGGCTTCTGTTTTCCAGCAAAGTGCTGATGGTTTTGCAGGTCTTTATTTTATTTATGTGGGCCTTCTATAACAATGGATTGGCTTATCAAATAAATGGGCCAACTTCACCAAGGTTTGGCTTGAGGTGTTGGGCTTTTTGGTTAAGTCAATAGGTTATTTTGGTTGGGTTATTTTGGTTGGGATATTTTCTCTTTGTGCTCACCCACATGTTTGAGCCTAAAAAATGGGCGTGCCCAAATCGGGTTTCTTCTCGGTAATGTATCGCATTGGGCCGAGAATTTATTTGAGCCAAACCGTGGATTTTTTGGGCCTCAACAGATCTTAGTTTAAAAATAAGAGTGAATCCATCACTAACTTTAAATAAATAAAAAATTATATATAGGGGCCTAATTTTTATTTTTGCTATGGGTCCTGAAAATTTCAGAACCGGCCGTAGTTGAACGACATATGTGGCGGGTTAAAAATGTTGTACCATTTGAGACCCAACAATAGTAAGGCCATATCTAATAATGCGAAACTCAAAATATCATGCCCAAATTCTTATATTTAAGTCCAAATGCATATGGCCCAAATGTATGTGGCCCGCCAAATGAGTTTTGAATTAAACTCAAGCTCATTATTGCTATTCCATAATTCACAAAATTATAACTAAAGCCAAAATATGGAAATGAAAATTGATGTATGAACCCCTCAACTGTACATTGCGGCTCTCGAAAGCAAGTAAGATTCAGTGCCAGAACCTGAGATCTTTTAGAACCCACCATAATAAACTGCAGTGCGACTCCATGACTCTGGATAGACCAGCAGCTTATGGACCCTTCGAATCATGCACCTCATTTGGTCCCACAGAAAGAAAAAGCCCAAATCAAACGATTGGAGTTGGAATATTGGGTAATGGACCCTATTAGATCTTTCATCTTCTGTATCTTCTCCATCAATTCAAAACCCACCTGCCCTCACCATTAAAACAAATAAAACAAACCCACTTCACCAAATGTATTACCCACAGAGATCCAGAGAATCTCACAGTTTTGTAAAAACCCAAAAAGTTTATTACTAAGATAGCAACAACAATGAGAAACACTGTGATGCAACGGGAATAACATTTTTTGCTATTCCTAATAAATAACGCAACGACACGACTAATCATTTCACGTGTCATTATATTATGAACTGGGATGACAAAACAGTCTTATCCCGTTGCAAGAAAGTATTTTTAACAACTACAGCTGAACACAGTGCAAACTAATCCTGATATTTACCCTATTTTCCATACACGACCGCATACTATATGAAGATTCTGAACCAAATGGGCCCACAAACTCAGCCAATATGGTGGGCCCTTGATCAAGGTGACCCAAAAACCCACAAAAAATTTGCCAGCTGGGGGGGCCCAGCTAGACCCCCAACCCAAGTCTTTGACTTGCAAGATCACACCTAACCTCAGCCACTCCCACTCTGGACTTCTCCAAGTCAAACTCCATCCACACGTTTTGCTGATGGTGATGTCCAATCACGAACGCCTCGATGCCTAGCAAGTCAGAGTTTCCGAATGTGAAGCAGTACACCGAATCACTGCCCCTCATCATTCCCGGTACCCGATACAACAGCCTCTCGCCCGATACGCTCATCTCGGCCCCCTGAAACATTAAGGTCACCGTTGGCAGCTGGGGAAGACTCGGCCGGTTCATCGGGACTTGGTAGCACAAATCCATGGCTCCTTGGAAAACGAAATTCGGGTCGTTCAAAACTCTCAAAACCGGTTTGGTTTGCTGAATGAACTCGTTTTTTAGTGCTGTGTAAACCGGACCGAGTAGGAACGTGAATTGGGTTCCGGAGTCGACCATAGTCTGACCCGCCCCGGTATGGTCCGGTACGAAAACCGATTTTGGGAGCGGTAACACTTTTCCGGAAACTCTGATCCCCTCGAGCTGGACGGTGTAAGCGACTCGGTCGAAGTACGGCAATGGGGTGGATATTTGGACCAAAGGGGTGTAGTTCAAGGGACGGAGCCAAGCGAATTTCGCTTCCCCGAAAAGTAGAACACCGGACGAGTCACGACCCGATATACAGTACGAAAATTTCGGGAGCCCCATTTGGGTAACGAAGGATAACGACCCGCGGTTCATACCCATTAACCCGGTGGTCTTGGCATCTTCCTCCGAGTTGGAACTGAACCCGGAATCCATGCACCCGAATATCGTACCGGGTTGCGTGGACAGCCCGAGACCGAAAGTTTCGGATGCGAGGTTGCCTTCAATGGAAGAAGCATCGGCGTAGGAGAGAGTGGCGTGGCAGAGCTTTTTGGGGTCGCAGGAAACGGGTATGGAGAAGTCTCGGGTTCGGGTCCGGCAAACGGGCGACGAGCAAGGTATGGGAGAATAAGATTTAGAGGCGAGTGGGTTGAAAACAGAGTTCAAGTTTGGGGCTTTCTTGCAGTGGAGCCAAGAGAGCTCACTGCCTGTGTCGAGGACCATGGTAACCTTCTGTGGAGGCGAGCCTACGGAAAGTTGGATTGTTAAGGTGACGTTGTGGTGGAAAGAGAGCTTGTTTGTTGAATGTGGGGCAAACCCATGTGGAAGTGTCTCTGTTTTGAGAGGTAGAATGAGTGTTTGTGGTTTTGAAGCAGAGAAACAGAGTGTGCAGTGGGTGAAGAAGCAGAGGAGAAGAATAAGAGGAAGAACAATGGGCATGGTTTATTTACGATGAAAAAATACAGATGGGAAAATCAAATGCAAATTCAAATGAATGGCTTGGGTTGGTTTTGAGTTTGGATTTGAATGCTTTTATGCAGAGGGTTTTGAGTGTTGTGGTTGTGTTTGGTGGTGTTGGTTTGAGAGAGATTGAGAGAGTTGTGGTGGTGGCGGGGTCTTTGTATTGTGTATTTGGTGCGTATGTGCAGTGAAATGAAAGCTACTCTTTCTGGTTTCTTAAATACTACAAGCTAGCTGTGTGAATAATGACATGCTCTTTGAATTTTGGTTTAAGAAATTTGTTACGTGCAAAGCATATGATGATGTTATGTATGATCCAATCGAAAGTTTTGATTCTCTCTCTCTCTCTCTCTCTCTCTCTCTCTCTCTCTTGATCAGTTGATCTTGATTCTTTTCTTTCACATAATATTTTGGTCTTTTACTTATGTTTTTACGGCATTTTGTCTTCACGTTAGAGGGAAATACAATCACTAATCAAATATTAAATTGGAAGATTTCATCCATGTATTAAATATTCATGATCGACAGCTTGCTTTGCTCTTCTACTGGATTTGCTTTGCAATTCGCTTATTTTCCACGAGTCATGAAGATATATATAAGTGGCTGCACTGTGCTTAATTCTTTGCTTCCTCATTGATTAAGCTCCGAATCCATCAATCCAAAAAAGAGATTAATTCCAACCCTTTACTTGTCATTGATAGCAGTACATCCAAAACAGCCATCAGATGTTACTACCTAATTAGTCGACGTGTTATAATGTGAATAGGTGACATGATTGATATGTCATGACGTAAAATATAATATTAATAAATAAATACACGTGTTATAACATTAATATGCTAAAATCGTCACGTGACAATATTACCGTCCGTCCATTATTCATATAGATTCAATTGTAAGCTTCCATCGAGAATATATGGAAGACATAGTTCATTTTTATACTGTACTTTCTTTTGCTTTCACCCACTTTTGTTATATAAGATTTTAATAAATCCTAATCATCTCTCGAATCTCATCGCATATGAGCTGGTGATTAACAATCACCCTTGACTTACATGAGCTTGTGATTCGTGAGGACCCGACATGCTCTTTCAAAAGGCATTATCTGGAAGGTACAACTGGAGACAAATATGAATACAAACTTCATGAAAGTCGGAAAGAACCCAAAACACACCACACCCACAAAAATCTAAGATGCATGGAGGTGAGAAAGCTCATTAATTTATAGCCTTGACTCTTGAACCTTTTTAATAGACAATTGTTTCATTAACAACTCCTAAGTGTGTATTATATTGTCAACCAGGCATTAATTAATAATTAAACTAATGTTTGAAAACTTTCGGCATGCACGTAAATTATATAAACTTTGGTATTGGGGGCAGCCACTCTAATATACAAGTCAGTCAACTTAAATCTCTTTTCAGACTTCTGATTTACTCAAAAATGCTTTCTTGCTTTCACTATTTCACTGTTAGAAAAGCTCAATATTAGCCCATGTTTAATCTTTCGTAACAAAAACCACAATTTAGTTGTGGTTGAACATGAATAAAACATAAATCGCATCATTGTGATTTTAGTTGGGTGTTGTCATTCTCTGTGTAGGTAGTCTATGGCGTTTTGAGCATTGAGTCACATTACTATTGTATTGTTAGGCAAATGTAATGCGTTTTTTTTCTTTAAATTATTTATGAATAATTGACTAATGATTGGTGTACCCAATTAGCCACCAAAGAAGAGCGCATACTAGTCTCCCAAGCCTTGATTGATTGCCACTTTTTGCTGGTTTCCACAAGGATTAGGGGTCAAAATCTTCAAATAAATGCGAAGCATACCTAATACCAAAAAGGATTGTGACTGAAATGGAATCGTGCGGGTGCTGATGTGCTTCCTATTACAATGTGTGAAGCATGCTTTGCGCACTAATAAAAAGACATAGGCTTGATGGCAACAATGACACATCTAACAAGAAAGAATGGTATATAGCTGTGATAATTTTAGACCCAATAGTTGAAGGAAGTTACATGCATAAGTTCGAGTCAAGCACTCAAGCCCTCGTGTCCAACCACATGTCCTTGTATGCCATCCATCAAATTGTCCATTAGTTACCCTTTGGGACCATCTGCATTGTCAGTTCCAATAAAAGAGAAATCTCTCCCTTTCTAGGGTTTGAAATTTTCTTTGTAGAATGACAAAAACCTAAATTATGAGCATGGACCCGATTCAATTGGAAACACAGAAAAGTCTCTTACTCATTTATTCCTAGACAACGCGACAAAGATTTGGTCGACTAGATAAGGGGAAATTTTTTATTCTTCATAAATTACCAAGCATACTGTTATATTAGACTATGAATCATAACTGTTGATTATTTGAGATCATGTTTGAATTTCAATCGTGTTCAGTGATATACCTATTAAGGCGTAAGGAGGTGCAGTTGCATCTTCTCTCACCGAAAAAGTCATTATATGTGTTGCATATTGCATCTCTGCTCAACCTAGGATGTGCACTCTAGGTGTTCGACGAAAACCCTAAACGAAGTTAGTCTTCTACTGTAGTGCGCTGTAAAATTCTTGAGTCCACCACTGACCGTGTCCTAAAAAATTTATTGCCGAATGGATAGTTTGGCATTTGATGTAGATGATTGAACATCGATGATTAGCTTTTAACAAGACTGGATTTTGGATGAGTCAATATAATAAAAAAGAAATGAATTTGGTATGCTTTCTCAATCACTCACGCAAGTGACCCAAGGGAGCAGGGAAGAAGAAGCAGGTAAATAAATTGCATTGCATGCAAAGCTTTATGTGACGTGAGTTAGATTCTTACCCTCATAGCAATCTCAAGTGCTAACGCGGTTTGGCAATCAATCACCGACTCAAATTTTGTTGTTTCTCCAAGATTTGTTAATTGTCAGCCTCAGCCTCCGAAAGAGAGAGGCATTTTGCTGAATTTTCTATATTCCACATTACATTTGTATATCTTTTTATCGCATTCAAGTAAATAGAATATGAGACATCTTTTAATTAAATGAAAACAACTATCACTCTATGAAAACTTAGTGACGAAGACCCACAATATATATATATATGATGGGTGACCCCACGATATATACGTATGATGGGTGGTTGATGTCTGCTCTCTCGGGGCCAATCTTTTTATAATTTTTAATCTCCTCTTTTTTCCGATAATCTGTTGGGAAGGGATCAAAACTATGACTTCAATCTGTTAGACATCAACTTGTCAATTCAATCTTGTGCTGCAGAACCACACCCTGTAATCCAGAGATTTCATGGAACAAGCCCAAAGACCCAAAAGAGTAGGACAGACGGGTGGGCTAATTCACATCTTTGGGCTCTTCAGGAAGGATAAGGGAGGCATGGGTTGCTGGGTTGACGGGGGAACTATTGGGCCATATTCCTTTATATAGAACTGAGAGAGATGGGGCATTGCGACAGCTCTCACAGTTACGCAGACAAATGAAAGTTTGAAGTTTTAAGAGAAGGAATAAAAAGATGGGCATCTAGAGCAGACTCCAAAACACGTTCAAGATTCGATTCCCACATAAGAAATTTACATCAAATATCAAATTCTGCTGATTTGAGCTGCTTCTCAGAATAAAGGGAAATGAAAAATGCCATAGTTTCTTTTGCGATTGTGTGACATTGGAGGAAATCTGTCCTACCTATGACCGTTGTAAAATTAGTCACGTGGCAATGGGTTTGAAGTTCAAGTAATTAAAAGCAACAACTCATACCCAAAATTCTATGTTTGAATCTCTCTATCTAATATCGCTTGTATAAAAAACAACTAATCCGCATGAACAATGCATGAGTTGACCGTGATAGGTGATGAATGGGACACATGTTGAATGTACACAACCCTTTAGGACAGATTTTTATGTGAAATGGTATATGCTCTACATGAAACTCCAAAATGTGCGTATGGCATCTATCTCACTGAATACCACATGGCATGACACTTAAAATATGGAATAAAATCGAGCTCCAAATCCCTTCCAAAGATATTTACCAGTTTGGATCGAGCGACAAGTGTTGGCATGGCATGTGCCATGATTTGGCTTCTTAGTAATTCTAGACGACCATTTTTGTGGGTGAGGCTTCTTTTAGTCAACTATGCTACCAAATGTAATTACCTAAATAGGTTCAGATCAGAACAAATAACAAATTATAACCGAAAAAAACACAAGGACAGAACAAATGGCAATGCCCATGTTCTGTGGAACGGCAAGTCGTTTAACTTACCCATTTGTTGTTTGAATCAAGTACTATAAAGAAAGCATCTTGGAAAAAAAGTACTGCAGCCATTGATGACACAGCTCCAAGTTCAAACTTCAAAGCAAACCCAGGAGAGAAAGGGGAACAGAAAAGCCCGAAAACCCAGCTGACCTTAAAACAGTAAACAATGACCTCTTCCCATTATCAATGCAAAAAACGTTGTCGTTTTCCCGTTGTCACCATCTCTATGGAGTTTAATGGCAAGTACCTCAATCTTTGTCACACAGTTGTAATGTAAGAAAGAAACACCAAAAAAATAAAAAAAATAAAAAATGTCCGGGGTTATTGTAATTCCCAACAATTTTCATGACAAGAAATAGCTCATGCAATGCATGAACAAGAACATGAACAAGAAGAAGATGCTTACACTTTATACAAACTGAATCTCACTACCAATTACAAATTCTTGGATGAAATCAAAATACACTTAGAAATCTGTCTAATTCCTGGTTCAGATTTCACTCCATGGAACTTTAAAAACTCACTTTGGCTTTGTCTCTCTTGGAGCTGGTCCTTCTTCTTCTTCTGCAGATGCTCTGCTTCTTTTTAATTAACTAGCTTACTAATTTCATGGGATTTTCAAGGCCCCACTCGCATTCACTCATATTTTTTCCCCAATATTTACACCACGAGTGAAATTAACGAACCTCACCATCTAACAATGCCACTGTTCACATCCATCGACCAAGTCCTCCGCCGCCTCGGCGTCGACGTCGTCGTCTGCTCCAAATCCATAAACCTCACCCTCCTACGACTCGTCGTTCCAGGCGGCGTCGGCGTCCCGAACCTCCTCTCCGAACCCGAACCCGAACCCGAAACCGCCGACGACTGGACCCCGCCAAAACAACCAAACAAACCCCGCAAAAACCGCATCAACCCACCACTCTGCCTCCCTCTTCCTCCATTCCTCGACCACGAAATCCTCCTCGGAGCTCCTGCGCCGTTAAAACCGCCGTCCATCTCCGTGTACACCACCGGAAGCTCTCTCTCGACGCCTCTTCTCCCGCCGCTGAATCTCCCCACCGCGAAACCGCCGCCGGGCAGCCTCCAGATCGTAAGACCCGCGTTCTCGTCCTCTTCCTGACCCGTCTCGGCCTCCGAATCGGCCGGCAGTTCATGTCGGCATACCGGACACGAGTTTCGGAGGGAGAGCCACGGGAGTATACAATCCGAGTGGTATATATGCTTGCAGGGCATTTCCCGAGCTTCGGTTCCTACTTCGAACGCTTCTTTGCACACCGCGCAGTGATGCTCCGCCGCTATGTGAGACTCGTCGAGCTCGATCGTCGGCATCGATTCCACCGCAGATTTTGATGCGGGTCTCTGCTCGTACCGTCCGATTCCGTTGATTTCGATCTGGGACAGCTGTTCGAGAAGGCGGTCAAAACCCGACCCGAGTAGAAACTCGGACATGCTTGTAGGTAAGGGTCGGAGCCCCGACCCGACACCGTCATCGTAGAACAGCTCGAATCCGCGACCTTCTTCGTTCGAAGTAGCACCTTCGGAGGTTGTTCCGCGGAGGACGATGACCGGGTTGAACGGCGAACGGTCGCCGTGGTTCCGGCGAGGTCTTCGGGGCCCCAAGGGGCTTGGAGCGGTGTGATCCGGATTGGAGTCAGAGCGGTTGTTGGCTCCAATCATGTACATCGCGGCAGCTGGAATCCTCCTAACGCGGCGCGAGTCGGAGCGGGTCGGGTTGTCCATCTCCTCGACGAAGCCACTGCCGCAGTCCGGGCACAGCGCTGAGGAGGAGACGGCGACGTCGTTTAAAACCCTGACGAAGCGGCTACATCTGTAGCACCAGTAAGACGGCGTCGCTGCGGACATGGAAGGCCAATCAATACTGCCGATCCGAAACAAAAAAAACGCCTCTAGCAGTCCAAATCAATTGAATTCGATCCGAGAAATGACAATTCCCAATGGTAAAAGTTCTGTTTGGGAGATGGGAAAATGAATAAAACCCCGAGAGAAAAAACTACAAAAGGGTTTCTTCTGGTTGTCAAGTTTGTTAATTGCGTGTTAAAAACTGAAGACAGAAAGGTTTATGGTGTTATTAACGACAAAACCGCGTTTGTTTATAGCGACTTAGCGTGGCGAGAACGCTCGAAACTTTTGCACACGTGGTGAAGCTTGATTGGGCGAAGCGCATAACGACGTTTAGTAAGCGTTAGAGATGAGAGAACTGTGAGGGTGGTTTTGGAGGAAGTGGGAAGCGGAGATGAGACGGTGCGCTTTAGAGTTGGCGACGAAACGGAGGCTGGGGGAAGGAAGGGACGGCTGCGCCGTTTTAATTTGAGCTTCGCGAGCCGGCGCGAAGAGTTTAGAGGAATATTCTATGCAGGATGACGTGGCAATATTCGTTTCTTAACTGAGAGGATTTTACTATTATTTGGAAAAGAGACTCCGTCAACTATTTTTCCAAAAGTTCTAACTATGACCCTAGGTCAAACTTCAAAACAAGAAGTTGTAATGAACTTTGACCCCAAAAAAAAAAATATATATATATATAATAAACTGATGGCAATATAAGAAACCAAAAAGATTAAATAATAATTAAAAAAAACTTAAACATTAAAAAATATTAACAAAAACAACCTTTTTTAAATAGATAAGATCAAAAATGTCGAAAAGGGTATTTTTCTCATAAACAAAATAATGATGTCATGCGAAGTCGAATTTGAGATCTCGAATTTGACAAATTAACTATATTATTTAATTATATTATAATGTATAAATAAATGATACTACATCACATGTGACGGTCACAAATTAAAATTTCTCATCGTTTCTATGTTGATATCACCTACAAAAACCGTTTTGACTTCCCATGGCTGTACAGTGCACATTATTCTTTCTTTCTTTCTCCAACTGATATTTTATGTTCCTCTTTTTTATTACTTTATTATATATCTATTTTTTTGAAAAAGGAATTGCTATCCAACTGAGTGAGCTACAGCTACAGGTGAGAAGCGGCTCGGCTGGGGGTGGTGACGTGGCACGCCTTACGAGCTGAGTCATGATTTTAGAGAGAAGAACCAGTTCGCTGTCCAACACGTCATCATCATTTCCTAAACATCGCATGCTTCTTTGTCTTGTTTTCATTGAATGCTGCGTTTCCTTATGTTTCAAAGTTCAAACATTCATTTTGTATTTATTCACAGTTTTTATATATATATATATATATATATTTCAATTCTAATCAAAGAAAAGGTTTTCTTGGTTTCTCTTGAACAAGTCCAATGTATTTGTTAAGTGTCTAATTTTTAGGTCGTCTTAAATCATATTTAATTTTTTAAGACTACTACCGAAAGTTTAAGACCCACACATAATAAAATATTATTTTCTAAATAAATTCACAATACTAAAAGAGAGTGATAGTATACCAGACCACTACATTAATGAGTCCTTTGCGACAAAAGGAGAATTTAAATTCTTATGATTTCAGTTGAAAGTGCATGCAAATAGTAATGTTATTATATTATTACGTATGAAATTATTTGCCTTTTATTAATCAGTAAATGTTGGGCAAACCCACCATTCATTTATGGATTATGATTATTTAAAAATTTTCCGAATTTTTTTTAAAATAAAATAATCTCCGCATGATCAACTAGTCATAAGATATTAACCAAGTTTGCTTTCCTGACAAACTATAATGTTAAACAATCCATCTGCAATGACGAAATTATTGGTATCTATCTTCGCATATGAATTCCATTTTTCTTACTAATCATAATTAATACATTGTTTAATATATAAGTATTAAATTAATGTTAGAGCTGATACGCCTCTTCTTTTTCTTTGGGTGTGCTTTTAGCATGCAATCGCATTGGAAAGCAGAAAAGTAGACTGCATCTGCATGTGAAGCTCAGCACATACGCAGGCTTTGGTAAATAAGAATTTTTCCAAGTCGTACCTATTCTTGAACGCGACATGAATGTCTTCTGCTTTACCACTTTAAACTTTACGTGTAAAAAGCATATATATATATATATATATTACCCCACTCATATTCTTCATTCCATTATCTCTATGGAAAGCCAACCGGGAAAATAAAGAAGAAGAAACGAATAGCACCATCATCTCTTTCATTTCTGGCTTTGACCAAAATTTAGACTTGCATCATATATATATATATATATATATATTTATAAATTAGTTGAAGCCGGGACTAAGGATGATTTTTAAGTATGACTATACGCATATGGCATAGACTCATATATCTCTCATCCCCGTTCATTATACGTTTGTTTTATAAATCATCTATACTAAAAAATAAATTAAATTAGAGATTATTTTCGTATATCTATATATATAAAGTAAAAGGTTGAGAATGGTAAAACATTTAAAATATCAGAAAATGCACTTGGTTAATGCAAGCATTAAGTATTGAAATTATTAATTAAATAAGGATAATATGGTAAATTCACAATTTTTCATATTTAAAAAAAATAAAAAATAAAAAAATATATCATATAATGGATCATATTTTTATGGAACACAACAATCCATTCTCTTTTTTTTAATTCTAAAATAAATTTTTAATTTTAAAAAAGAAAGCCTCTGTCAGACACGAAAGCGCGTGCGAAAAGACTAGTATTGAATAAATCGTCGATTTTGGTAGCAATTAACATCATCGTGATGAAAGTAGTTGACACATACAAGTCATTAAACTATTTCCAAATTAATTACTTTTTTACAAATTTAAGCTGGGTTGCACTTAAGTATTTTTACTAATATAATGAAACCCAACATCTACCCCAACGAAAATCCAAATCAATGGAGTTATTAACTTATAAAACTTGGGGCCGGCATAGTGTATTCACATAGGCAACGCTAGTGGGCCTAAAAGGATAATACGAATATACTTACAAATAACAGCTCAACGTTCCACATGCCGTACAGATTTAGGCCCAGGGCGTATGCTATATTTTCTATCGCTTTCTTTGTGCAGAAGAACAACACAAGGGCAAGGCAATTTACAGGCTTGTTTGGAATTGCTTTTTTAGAAAGTATTTATGTTCATAAGTGCTTTTAATAAAAATGTTTTTATTATAAAAATCTTGAAAATCTTGAATTTTCATAAAAAAAATAATCTAGGTGCTTCCTGGAAAAGCACTTAAAATACTTCTTCAGCACATAGCAGTGCTTCTTTAGGAAGCATTTCTATAACCCAGAATCGCTTCTAAATTTTTCTGTCAAACGCTGTCAGACGTGCTTTTAACCCTTCAAAAAGCTCTCCCAAAATGCGACATCGTTTACACTTATATGTCTTCTTGTGTTATGATAAGATGAGACGGTGTGTTCCGAGCATAATTTTCTTTCTCCTTATCTCTCTTTTTATGTTTTTCAATGTCATAGGAAATAGAAAACAGCAACCAAACACACCTTAGACAGAGAGGTTAGCTACACCAAGGCAAAATCCTATATACTTCATTCCAATCCAAGTCCCGAAATCATTTACAAGCAAAATGATCAACATCTACTACTACAGTGGTACTTTATTGAAAAATGAATAATACTAGTCTTAGCACATTTTTATATCACATGATGTGGCAGTTAATGTGTACATGTCACATCATGTAAAATATTAGTTTTTGTTTTTCTAATTTTATTTATTAAAATACATTTCATTCATATAATTGATGTGACACATGATATAGACATGCCACATAATGTGATATAGAAATGTATAATAAAAATGCGATAAGTGCAGCATTACTTAAACTAATTTAACAATTTATTTTCTTTTATGATTTATTGACACTTTTTAATAGATGTGGTTGTACCTCATCTGCCACATAAGGTGGTATACAAATGTGGTAAGACAAAATAATAATTAATTAACCACAAAAAAAGAAACAAAAAATACAAATTAACCCCACCGAATCTAATGCCCAAAAAAAAAACCCCAAAGAAATTAACGTATTTATACTTCGACGGCGGGCCACCAAACAAAGAAATCTTATTCTTTCGTGGTCTTAGGGTTAAAGATGCTCACCATGTTCTTAAGTTGATCAACGAATGAAATATACGGAACGGTTCCATCATTCCCAGCAAGCACTTTGTACTTGTCCTTCCTAGTGAAGTTAGTGCACTCAAACCCTAATGTGGAGGCCAAAATCCTCTGCACGTAATTTGCAACTTCATGAGGGCTTTTTCCGGAAGAACACGTGGCTTCCATAGGCAACTGGTTCAAGAACGTAACTTCATAAACAGGCCTAGGGTTCATGAAGAAGAATACGGGATCCAAAGCTTTCCAACCCTTCGCCGTGGTTGCGTGGAAAAACCCTACCCTGTAGTTCATGGCCACAGGAACAATTCGGTTCGTAAGCTCAGCAAAGAGTGCACTGAACCTCAAGAGAAAAGGTTCACGACATGTTGTTCCTTCAGGACAAACCACCAAGTCCCCTTTGGATAGTTCAAGCTTGATTCTTTCGGCATCCATGTGTCGAACTCGGGTTAACCGAACGGTGGGGATTGGTGCTAACATCTCCGATATTCGAGAGATTGAGTATGTGACTGCTGGAATTTTACGATTGAGTACGCTTGAGAGGATAACGGGGTCCATTAGTGTTCGATGAGTGCAGACGAAGAGCACGCCAGAGTTGCCACCGGAGAATGGCGGTGGGGGTTTCCCTTTCACAATTATTTTGCCGCCAAATAGTTGGGATATGTAGGGAATAAAAGTCATTGGCAATATCAAACCCAAGACTATCCGAATGAAGGCGAGTAAGATGCCTAGGGGCATCCATAGTAGGATTAGAAGGGCCGTTGAGGGCGTCGGGCGCTTGACTAATCGGCCGTCGTGGAAGATCACCGGAAGTGGTCTGAGGACTTGCTGCTCATGCTTTTGGTTGGTCAGGGTAAATGGTGGGTGCATTTGTTCCTGTAGTGACAAGCCGTGCATATGCATGATTTACTTAACTAGTAAGAGTGAATTGTGTACGTTTAAAACAACTTGAAAGAAAAATTAAATAATTGTTAATTTTACGCGTCACATAATTAGTAATCAAAAGTTTATGTTATGTGCCACATCAGTTAGTAATAAAAAGTTGCGCTAATATAGCTGCCATATTATCTACTTACCTTGCATAGTGTTAGAAATGAAGAACTTGATGATGAAGGCCTTCCCAACCCTAACGTCGGCTCCTCATCTATGAACACCTTTGCCACCCGGTCGTATATATTCTTGGAACAAACTTGACTTTTAACAAAGCCCGTGGCAAACCCAAATCGGCTCACAACAAGCTCACTACCAATAACTTCATCAGCTCTCAAGTGCTCCTTCACAAACCTCTCCGCCATAACCCTTGGCATTCTAGTCACCACAACCCTCCGATCATATAAGCTAAACACTTTCCAAGCCTCCATATCCAAATCATCCATGTAAAACTTTGGCAAAACTGCTCTGGCCACCGATTCAATCTCCGATTCAGGAATACCAAAAACAGCAACAAAAATCATAAGCTTAAGCCCAGCTTCCTCCATACCAATCATCTCAAGAAACCGAATAATCGGCCACACCATCAACAACAAGGCAAACCGGATCAAACCCGACGCCTCAAATGCCACCAACATGAAGTAGGAGAAAGGGTCGGGGTCCTTGAGAAGTGTTCCTTCGAGCTCAGAAGCCACAGACTCCGTTGGGCTACTTGTTTGCATTTTGTACAGGTTTTTCCGGTTTGGGATATTATGCCTTAGACTTATATCTGGCTATAAGTACTATATTTGGCTCAGGTTTTTGTAAATTTGTCTGGGTTAGAATGTAGGAATGAATTAGTTTATCGGTTTACAACTACCCCTGCTTTATATAAGTACTCTCTGATCACTCTATCTCCCTCTAAATAATTTATTCGTTTTGGGTTTTGAGTGGATGTATCTGCAAAGAAAAAAGTTGAATACGCCACGTAATTAAATACGCACACAAACGATCGATTACTTAACCCCAACAACTTGGGGTGACGTGGAGTTTTTGTGACACGAAGTCCATTTGTGCACACCTAAAAAGTAGGTCTGAACTTTGGGCCATTAGGTCACTGACTTTTCGCTCATAACGTGAGGAGCAAACATGTTGTTCGGTTAAATCTTCCTATATAAGGTTTTGCAAAAAGTTTCTGTGATCTGTTTAGTGCTGCATGGGGATTAAGATCAGCTGGCTGGCTGGCTGGCTGCCTGATGCGGAAATTTCTGGGAAATGTCGGTTTTGATTGGGTCTTGCCACGTTTTAGATTTTGCTATATATAGTTCTCTATGGTCCTGTTTTTTGTCGAAGTATGGAGTTTCTGCTTTTCCCATTATGGAGATTAAGGATTGAAATAAGAATATGACATTGTACGAATTTCCTTTTTCTACTCATTTTTTGTGTAAACTAGGTGGGTGCATTTTTGCTTACCACTTTAACTCTAGGTGTACCCTCATCACCCTTACCAAAAGTTGACACATGTCCATTGGTTTAACTATAGTTAATTCTTTATTTTTTATTTATTTGATAACATTATTATGAGAGAGAAACAATACTTCAATAAGATTTTTCCTGATTTACTCTTATTAACCTAGCAAACTTTCCACCTTTCTAAATTAATTAACAACTACCCAAATAAATAATTGGCAATTGGCTTTATATCCCGTGCTTTAATATGAATATCAATTCACAGGCTTCAATACTTTGAAGAACACACCCAGATACTTTGAATCTCAATTGGCTTTAGTTAACTCCTTTTATACACGCCCAAAAGTTACACTGCTCTTCAATATATTATTACGTTGCAATTTCTCAATATCCTTGAACCTGTTTTCTTTCTTCAACCGATGAGTTAATTATGATGTTGCAAGTTCTGGACTAATTAATTCTGGTTTTATTATTCTGAATAAAGCTTACTCCATAGGAGCAAAATATATTGGAGTTGCAGAAATTCCAAAAACGATGAAGGAACCAAGCTCTGCAATAATACCCTTCATTGTCTCATTCCTCTGGCTCTGTAGTACGGTTCATTCTATCATTCCTTTCTATGCTAGTCTTGATCCACCAGTAAAGACGATACCAACATCATGGACTAAAAAAACTAAATAACGCAGAGCAATCATGAAAGTATAAAAAATAATCAAGCAATACAAAGTACTAAAAATAAAAAAAAACAGCATAGATTATTACCTCTCTTTCACTAAACAAATGGAGGAAGCTTGCAATTGAAGATCAGCATAGATTATTATTTGGGTAGTTGTTAATTAATTTTAAAAAAGTGGAAAGTTTGCTAGGCTAATAAGGGTAAATCAGGAAAATTTTTATTGAAGTATTGTTTTTCTCTCATAATAATGTTATCAAATAAATAAAAAATAAGAATTAACTATAGTTAAACTCATGGACATGTGTCAACTTTTGGGAGGGGTGGTGAGGGTACACCTAAGGTTAAGGTGGTGAGCAAAAATGCACCCTAAACTAGGTATACGAGGTGCATAAATAATGAAAAAACATAAAATTAAAGATTTTCATGAATAGTTTAAGGTTAGAAATCAAGTAACAATCGGATACGAGGTGCTTTCGATTACGATATCCTTTCTGATCATGAGCAATCTTTTGGGATTTTGTTTATTTTAGTGGCAATGTATCTTTCACTTTGGCAAGCCACCGCAATTCGATTGCAAAGTTTTCAAAATCACGGGAGTCTTAAAAATGATTTAGGCAATCTCTCATACTTAATCTCAAAACAAGCTGCATGCATGTGATGTGGTGACTTTTTGGCTGTCACATGCATGGCATTGGCAAAGCTTGCAAGAGGAATTCAAAATAGGTTAGAAAACCAAGCCATTTGCCATCTCCAGCTTTCCTTCTGCCGTGTTGTGTATGTTGCTCAACCTCTACGGTAATATCACACGCTTCTGTTTAATTATTTATACGCAAATTCTACCAAACAAACCGCTGGTTAATTTTCTTTTGCTCTATCAGATTGACACGGAAAACTTCTGCTACAGGTTAGGTAAGGTTGGTTTGAAGATGAAAACACAAACAGTTTGCAAGATGAACCCAAATTAAGAAGGTGTTAGCAGAATAAATGTTCAATTGGTTCAAATTCTTAAGCCCAAAATTGGCCTAACAAAGACAGGCCGGCCGGGCCTTGAAAGAGGAAAGTTTTTTAGCCCAAGCCAACTTGACCTACTGTAGGTATGAGCATGATCTTTCCTGACGTGCAATGGTGCAAGCGTGCAAGTTGACACAATGGATGGCCTAAAGCAGGCTGACATACAATAGAACAAAATAATTCAGAAGGTGTTAAATACAGTTATGATGGTGGACAAATTCATCACATTACATAGCAGAAGTTGATAACAGTGTCATTTCATCATAGTTATTGAAACCGAAATAAAAAAAATACATTATTAACACTTCAAAAAAGTTATTTTAAATTTATTACGGTTCGATTATTTTTAATTACGGTTCGAGAAAGAACAGTTGAGAAGGGAAAGAAAACAAACCTAACAGTCAGCAGCAGCAGTAGCAATCAAAAGAATGATTTACCTAACCTTATATATTTACCACAACAAGGATAATATATTTATGGGAAACATACATGCACATCAGCCATGAATTGCGCTTGCCAAATTTCGAGGTTATGCCTCACCTCTCATCTATTCATTTTATTTATATTTTTATGATTTATCTGTTCCTCTGTTTGTTTAAAATAGAAATTATCTGTATACGAGTTGACACTGAAATATCGGAATGAAAGATAACATAAATAAAAGGGGATATTTTCTTTTTCTTTTTTGTTTCTATATATAATTTTCTTTTTGGGGCATGCTTAAGCACAATTAAGGTTCTTGGGTTTAATCCAGGAACTGCAGACAGATTAATAGTTTTATTTGATAACAACGTACGTGGACTGCATATTAATGATTCATGTAGAAGCAAAGCAGAGACAAGTCACGTGACTGAGAGGCCACACAGGACATGTCTGCAAAATCATCGTTATCCACTGGTTTCTGCAAAACATGTAAACAATTTGCGGCTGACATAATCACAAAACTAACATTGTCGCCATTATAAGTAAACATGCTTTCTGTATATTATATTAAAAGAAGCAAAAAGAAAAGGCATCTTCTTTGCCCGTGGTTTGGGGTGTCTGTGTGGTAGCTGGTTTCAGCTGCATTCACTGGAGTTTATTCTGTTAGCTTTTTATAGTGGGTGGCAGTATTAGCCAAAGTTTTAAATAAGCTAATCATCATTCTATTATAAATTTTATTGATGCTAAAGTTTAGTTTAATTCTTATATTCCACCGGGGCAAGTTGAGATCGGTTTTATTTAGGGTTGGTTGAAGTTGTGAGGAATGGTGAGGTAATGAGTTACGTTTAGGATATGTCTATGACTCAATAATGGGTTACGTTTAGGATATATCAACGACTCAATCTTCCTTAAGTGTAACAAAAAAATAAATCTTCTAAGGCATCAAAATGACCATTAGAGTGACATCGATGTGGTTTTGAATAACAATCTTTCGATGTTTTTGTTAAAAAGGTTGTCTAAAACTAGCTTAGCAAAAGTTTTAAGCCTATCAAGTACTAGTGTGTGTATAACTGAAAGAGTTCTTGGGGAAGCTTATATACAAGCTTTGGGTGATTAGTGCCTTTATTATCTCTTGATGGCTATTAGTTTTCCTCACCAAATAATCAATTGTTCTTATTAATTTGTTGCTAACTAAATCTTACCCACCATTATGAATGTGCCAAACATTTTCATTCATTTCAGAACAAGTACTTGGCTCATTATTACTGTGGTTGAGATGGTTTGGTAAGGAAGCCCCAAGCTTAAATGCACCATTCAAAAAATCTCCTTCAATTTTATTTTTTTCGGGACATTTCTTGTTGAAAGAGGCGATAATATATTAAATTCACACACACTACATGGATGCTACGAGCCTACGACTCGAACCAAAAACCTTGCTTGGAGGAACAATTACTCCAACCACTACACTAGTGGGTCTTTTGCAATATTTTTTTTCTTTTAAGTGAAACTATATTTTGTACCCAATCATTGTAATTACATGCTCTTTTGTGTCTGTGTACTAAAATTAGGTTATACTTTTGCAGGAATAGAGGAAGAAGTTGCCGCTTATAGTTCTACAAAAGCTATGGATTCTGTCAAATATGTTGCTGTGTTTGTTGTTTAGTGTGCGATAAAAGTGTCTATATTTAAGGGGGCAGTTATAAAGTCCAAACGAATTTTATTTTCTACATTTTATTTTAAATACGTAAAATGTAATAATTTGATTTAACACGCGCCGAGTTTAAGTGTGTGAGATAAAATTGTCTACATATATGTTAAATGCGGTTAGAAAAACTTGAAAGAATCTTCCTTTCTACAATTTAAATATATACTAATTTGATATAAGAAGCGCCGAGTTTAAGCGTGTGAGACAAAGTGTATATATGTTGGGCACAATCACAAAGTGTGAAAAAAATCTTGTTATATACACCTTTTAAAGTGTCACATGTACTAAATTGACGCCGAGTTTAAACTTATGGATGCCACCAATCCGATCTTCTATGTGACATACAACATATTGTCTTTTGCAGTTCTAGGCTTTGTAAAGATCATAACCTAAAAATTAAAAAAAAATGCCAGATTCATACGTTTCATTTTTTTTGTTGTCTGAAAAATCAAATTCGGGTTTCATAAGCCAGTCAAAGTGAAATTCTAATAATAATATACTCAATGTGGTTAGGTGGTTACTTTTTGTTTTCTTGCTTGTTGCCACTATTATTATATATTTTCGCCCTTAAATTTAGTAATTCAATGTCTTATGTCATTAATTATATGCGTGATAAACTAATTAGGAATGAATTACCAAAGGAAAATCAAAATCTCACATATACTTATTTTACTTCTTATGCGGAGAGGATCTCCCATTTAAGTTGGTATAGTTTTTTATTTTATTTTATTTTTTCTCTTGTTGTTTGTTTATTTATTTAAATTCCAATATATTAATTACATCAAAATTATGATTTGGAAACTATATGTTTGGTAAATTTGGTATAAATTATTCACCTTACTCATTGTTTTTAGTACCATGCGGATCTTTACCAGCATCCCAACACAATGTAGAGACCTATCAATTTAATCCACATAGAAAGTTGATATTGACTTTCTTTTTGGATCTAATCACAATCACCTTCCTATTTTTTTGGTTTCAAATTCTTGACAAAATCTTTAAAGAAAATCCCTTGATGACTTTTTAAATATTTAAAAGTATAACATAATATATATTTGTAAAAAAGGTGTAACATTTATTGATTGCCACATTTTTTTTTCTTCTGAAAACCTAATTCTCACAATAAAGAGATTTCCATAATGATGAAGATACAGATTATCATTCCTAAAAAAAAAGAAATTAAATGCAGAATGCAAAAACTGAGAATTATGATTTATTATTATTTTGGGTCCAAAGAGAATTTATGATATGATTTATACATCCGTATAAAGTCTAGCGCAATCTCTACTGCAGATTTGACAAATACAAGATACCAACACAAAAATAAATAAATAACGTGCGTATTAAAACCTTGAATTCAATTATAAAAAAAAATTAATCCAATGCAAACAGGTAGCAGCGCAGCAGTTAGACGATGAAATAGAACCCTAAAAGACATCTTTGTATGAACATATCCTGACCGTCACTTCTCATATCCTACGGCTCAGAATTTCCCAGTGCTTGTGCTTATCATTGCCCTCTTTCTCACTTCACTGTCTCCCTCCCTCTTTCTTTTCTCTCTTTGTAAAAATGGCTGAATCCATATTTGATCATCTCAGCGCAATCCGATCCTCGTCTTACTGAGTATATAATCCATACTCGGCGTTAAAAAAAACCAATCTTTTTACTTTCAGTGCAAAATTTTGAGATATGGGTTCGTAGTTTTTGATCAGAAAATTTGTTTTATCCTGAGCTTTAGGAACAATCCCATTTGGTTTTTAGCAGTTTTAAGCTAAACCCAAGCTGAAAGTTTTGATTTTTCTTCAGTTTCACTGTTTATATTCATATTTTGATGATTTTTTTATTGTGATATATGACATGGTCACCGATACTTATTCGAAGATGATGTCCGAGATGTCAATGCGTTCCATGTTGAAGAGCGGCGAAGATTTGAGTATGTTGATTCGCGAACAGAGGCGTCAACACGAAGCAAGTGAGCGAGAGAAGGAGGAGCTCAATCTGTACAGAAGTGGGTCGGCCCCACCTACAGTCGAAGGCTCGTTAAACGCGGTTGGGGGCTTGTTCGAGGACTCGGCGCTGTCGGGTTTCACGAAAAACGGCAGCAAAGGCTTTGCGACCGAAGAGGAGCTTCGTGCCGATCCAGCTTATGTGACTTACTACTATTCCAATGTGAATCTCAATCCGCGGCTTCCGCCGCCGCTGGTTTCGAAGGAGGACTGGCGTTTTGCGCAGCGGTTCCAAGGCGGGGGCGGTGGAGGTGGAGGTGGAGGTTCGGCTGTTGGAGGCATTGGAGATAGGAGGATTGGAGGTAGGAGTGGTGGCGAAGGTGGGGATGTGAACAGGTCACTTTTCTCGGTGCAGCCAGGGGTTGGAGGGAAGGAGGAGAATGGGGTGGCCGGGAGGAAGGCTCCGGCGGAGTGGGGCGGTGATGGGTTGATTGGGTTGCCGGGGTTGGGACTTGGGAGTAGGCAGAAAAGTATTGCAGAGATCATTCAGGTGAATTGTTAGTGAAGTTTGTTGCTTTAACTGTTTTATATAATAAACTTTTTATCTTGAATGTTGTTTGCTATTGGAAAAATTAGATGCACTCCTGTAAGTGTTTCTGTTTGTAATGATAGTGTGATAAGTTTTGCCTACTGGTTTCAAGTGATTATTTTTCATCTCTAATTTATGTGTTTTACATGGGCTAAATCTTTATGTCATTCATTAGATGATTTACTCGATATCTGGTTCAGCTCCTCTAAGCAGGGTGCGCCTTTTGGTTATACCCATGAAGTGGAAGGAATCCATGAATTAGTGCCTTTGACAGTGGTTTCTCTCAATTGTCAGCTGAATAATTCCATGAGATGGAGGTGCTCATTGGGATGAGGAATTGAACTAGTTCTTCTGACACTAGCTCAGTTTTCTTAAATTATTAGCCTTTATGCTGTTGATATTGATATTGGGTTTTCAGTCATGCTATAATCTTGCTTCTTAAGTATAGTTTTCATTCTTTGCATAAATGTCTCACCAATAGAATGTAAACTTAATTGGAATGGAAACTGTTGCTGCTTATGTGGAATGCTGGAGGTATTTGGATCTAGTTTAGGTGATTGATGTTTGCTTCTTGCTCTACACTTTGTCTTGCATATGTAGATGCGTATTTGAAACTTTATATTAGCATGTAGAATGTGAATGTGGTTACAAGTTATAACTATATATAAATTGCATTTTATTACATTTTCTGGTTATTTTTACTTGTGTTTTTCATGATTAGAGTTGATTTAAACCTTCACTTATTTTGGTTTGTTGGTAGATCTGCTCTTATGGTCTTTTTGTTGTATACTTCCTTTCCTGGTCAAGTTTGATTGTCTGCTACAATTTTTGTAAAATAAATTGAGTTTGTATTTCTTTTTTGGCACAAAGCTGCTGTGTAAAACGTTTGGTATTTCAATGCAGGATGATATACATAATACAAATGTCTCAAGGCACCCTTCTCGTCCAGCTAGCCGGAATGCATTTGATGATGGTGTTGAAACTTCAGAAACCCAGTTTGCTCATATGCATCGTGATTTGGCATCTATAGATGCTTTGCGTTCTGGTGGAAATAAGCAAGGAATGTCTGCTGTCCAGAATGTCGGCTCATCGGGTTCTCATACATATGCTTCTGCTCTGGGTGCTTCATTGTCAAGAAGCACGACCCCAGACCCTCAGCTTATAGCTAGGGCTCCTAGTCCTCGGATTCCACCTGTTGGTGGAGGAAGGGCTTCCTCCATGGATAAAAAAATTGCCAATGGTCAAAACTCATTCAATGGTGCCTCACCCAATGTGAATGAGTCTGCAGATCTAGCAGCTGCTTTATCTGGTATGAACCTGTCGGCAAACGGCAGGATAGATGAAGAGAATCATGCACGCTCACAAATTCAACATGAAATTGATAATCACCATAACCTTTTTGATATTCAAGGTGATCGGAGCCATATGAAACAAAATTCATATTTGAATAAGCCTGATTCTGGGAATTTTCATTTGCATTCTGTTTCCCAATCTTCTAAAAACTCTTATCAGAATATGGGAAGAGGCAGTGGATTTGGGAGGGATCTGAACCACCCTTCATATATGTCTGATGATCCAGTTGAAATTAATAATCCCGCTGCATCTGCTAACTCATACTTAAGGGGACCTGTGCCAGGTCTTAATGGCCGAGGAAGCTCATTCTCCCAGTATCAGAATGTAGACAGTACCTCGTTTCCTAACTATGGCTTGGGTGGGTATTCTGTTAGTCCTTCATCTCCATCCATGATGGGAAATCCACTTGGTAATGGTAGTTTACCACCCTTATTTGAAAATGCTGCTGCTGCATCTGCAATGGGTGGCTTGGACTCTGGAGCATTTGGAGGAGGTATGTCTCTAGGACCAAATTTATTGGCAGCAGCTGCTGAATTGCAGAATATGAACAGGCTTGGAAATCACACTGCTGGGAGTGCTGTCCAGGTGCCCATGATGGACCCATTGTATCTTCAGTACGTGAGATCAAATGAATATGCTGCTGCCCAGGTTGCAGCCTTGAATGACCCCACAAAAGATAGGGAAGGCATGGGTAATATGTATATGGATTTACTGGGTTTGCAAAAAGCTTATCTGGGGCAATTGCTTTCGCCTCAAAAATCACAATTTGGTGTTCCCTACATTGGTAAGTCTGGTAGCTTGAATCATGGTTACTACGGAAATCCAGCATATGGGCTTGGCATGTCTTATTCTGGAACAGCATTGGGTGGCCCCCTTCTTCCAAACTCTCCTGTTGGACCGGGTAGTCCTGCCAGGCACAGTGATCGGAACTTGCGTTTTTCTTCTGGGATGAGGAACATGGGTGGAGGTCTCATGGGACCTTGGCACTCTGAAACTGGTGGAAATTTTGATGAAAATTTTGCCTCCACTTTATTAGATGAGTTCAAGAGCAATAAGACTAAATGTTTTGAACTTTCAGAGATTGCAGGGCATGTTGTTGAGTTCAGGTATATATTTGTTGCTGTTTCTTTAAAAACTTATGCCTTTTACCCATCTAGATCTCCAGGGATTAAGTCACTCATATTTCCTTGAACAGTGCCGACCAGTATGGAAGTCGGTTTATTCAACAGAAACTTGAAACTGCCACAGCCGAAGAAAAGAACATGGTCTTTGATGAAATAATGCCCCAAGCCCTTTCTCTAATGACCGATGTGTTTGGTAATTATGTGATTCAGAAGGTACTTTTTCCCGTTTAGATTGATTTGCCTTTATGTGCCAATTCCATGTGTTCTTTTGTATTAGCATGTTCATAATAGGCTTTGGTTAAGTGGTTGATAAAAAATGTGGAATATTTCTTCCCTATGACTGAATTTTTCACTTTGAGTTCAGTTTTTTGAGCATGGAACTGCATCACAAATAAGAGAACTTGCTGACCAGCTCACTGGGCATGTGCTGACCCTTAGCCTTCAAATGTATGGCTGTCGAGTAATCCAGAAGGTATGTTCAGTTAGTTTACCAAAGTTCTGACAGTAACCTGTAATATTGATATTTCCTGCATGTTTTACTTTCTGGCTTTCCTACAAAAGCAGGAGGGTTACCTTCTACATTTTTGTATCATAATGTGTTATGCGAGACCGGCTAATTATGTTATCTAATATGTTTGGGGGTCTTCTTAGAAATTATTTGTGAGAAACAAAACTTTTGGGTTTTACTCTGGGAAAATTATTTTCTCAAGTTTGAATTTCATGAGTCACAATGGATGAACTCGTTGCTCTTGTACTTCCAGGGAAGTGGAATACAGCTTAATAGATATAAATCGTATAAGTTGAAAGAAAAACATTACTTCCATAATTATACAGATTTTTTTCCCCCGTAGTTTTCGGGGCAAATGTAAATGAAGTTGTACACCATTGACGGGTACAGATATCCATCATATTGCATTGAACTCGGTTTTCATGTGCTTCTATTTTACTGTTCAGGCTATAGAAGTTGTTGAGCTGGACCAGCAGACTAGAATGGTAGGTGAACTGGATGGCCATGTTATGCGTTGTGTTCGTGATCAAAATGGGAACCATGTCGTCCAGAAGTGTATTGAATGTGTACCTGAAGATGCCATCCAGTTTGTTGTTTCAACTTTTTATGATCAAGTCGTGACACTGTCAACTCATCCATATGGTTGTCGTGTCATACAGGTTAAGAACTGCTCCATTTTCTGAAACATGTTCATGTTTGCGCATCTACTAATCATATCAGTTGGATAGGTTGAAGATGAATCATTATCAATGCAACTGTTGCGATTCTGAATGGTATAATAACTTTGATGTAACAGAGAGTTTTGGAGCACTGCCATGACCCCAGAACGCAGCAAATAATGATGGATGAGATTCTGCAGTCTGTTTGCATTTTGGCACAAGACCAATATGGAAATTATGTTGTACAGGTTTGTCACATTTCTGAGAAACTTTTTTCACTGCAGTTTCTTATTGTCGAAGAAAATAATCCCACCGTGGTTAGATACAATCTGTTGTTTAAGTATCAAATGGACCTTCACTTAATCTACTAAGTTTCTTCGTTAGATGCTAACTTGGTACTTATTTAATGTAGTATAAAGGTTCAATTTGATTTCTCTCTAGACATCTCGGTCTTATCCTAAGCCCAATTTTTTTTTTGCCTCTTCATGCATTTGCGACTTCACTTAAATCCATTGTTGAACCTTAAGTTTCATACTTATAACGGGACGGTTATTTGTCCATTGAATGGAGGGATTGAATGGAACTGAGGAATAATATGATTTCAGCTCCACTCCCCTCTCCCTATCAATTTAGTGTTTTCATATTTCTTTGCTTTGAGTTCTGTTTATACACCTTACTTGGCGTATTGGATGAGTTGATGCACCCTTACCTAATTGTTTCGTGATGTAATTTATTAGCTTTATATGGTAGACCTGCCTGTCTCTGATTTTGCCCCAATTTTACTTTCTTTACATTTCAGAGTATGTTTGCATTAACTAACTCACTCTTAACTGTAAAAAGAAATAAGCTGTGACTACAACAGAACCAATGTGGTGACTATAAATTGTTTAGTTTGGGAATAATCATATATAGCCCCTGTCATGCTGTATATGCTAAAATGCCTGTTTTATTCTTCTTTTACATTGAACTCAGTTAATTGATTGTGATTAATTTTACAGCATGTGCTGGAACATGGAAAACCACATGAACGATCAGCTATCATTAAGGAACTAACTGGCCAGATTGTTCAAATGAGCCAGCAAAAATTTGCGTCAAATGTTATAGAAAAGTGTTTAAGTTTTGGAACTCTTGCTGAACGCCAGGCCCTTGTAACTGAGATGCTCGGTACCACTGATGAAAATGAGCCCCTTCAGGTTTGCTACTGATCTATGTGCATTTTGTCTCTCTAAATTTCAGTGTGCATTGGTGAATGTATTCTTTTATTGTTGTATAGCTTTCTTTATTTTTGACTCTTTAACTCTTTTCTTGTCTCAACTTGCAATCTTCAAATATACTCTGGCCAAGTTTGCATCTGAAGAATGGGTTTCCTGAACGTGCAATCGTCTCTAACTTTTGGTTCTTTTATGATAATACTTTTACATTGTGAAGTAACATTTCTATACAATTTTCAAGCTCTTATGTTTACTATTTATGCTTATCCGGTTACCTGAAATGGTGGTCTCTTAAAATGACCTTGTGAATACATTGGAATGCTAGTGAACTCGTTGGGCTTTCTTCCAGCTATTATCTTTAGTTCTCTGATCAATAGCTATCATGTGTGTTATATCATAAGGCAGATAAAAGTTATAACTATTATATCTAACATTCTCAGTGACGGTTGGCCTCATCCCAATCAATTACTTTTGGATCTAGCTGTCTTGCCAAAGTTTTTGAATTGTAGCCCTAGTATATAATAAAAGTACAAAAATGATAGCATGACTATTCAAAGATTGAGTTGTTTTAGTGCCCATCTTTTTTTGGTTAACATTGACTACTTTTCAAATGAATAGAGTGGCTGACTGGTTTACACACAACTTTTTAGAGCATTAAGCTTCTTCTCTTTGTTATTGTGAAATATTTTGAATACTATGTGGTTCTGGGAAAATGATTTGCCAGGCTTTGGTTTTGTAAACGGGTGTATATGCGTAGTCTCATTCTAGTTTCTGATTTTTGTTTGTTTGAATTTAGGCGATGATGAAGGACCAGTTTGCAAACTATGTTGTACAGAAAGTGCTGGAAACTTGTGACGATCAGCAACTTGAACTAATCCTTAACCGAATTAAGGTTCATCTGAATGCTCTGAAGAAGTATACTTATGGGAAGCATATAGTTGCACGTGTAGAGAAACTTGTTGCTGCTGGAGGTACTTTTTCCCTCACTTTCTCCTTTTGTCTTTTTTCTTGGTCTCCTTTTCTTTTCTTTACCTTTGCTGATACAGAAATTAGTGCATCACTTGCGGATCGTTGATTCTCTAAATTTTCCTCAGCTTCATATTACAGTATGTTTATCAATTGATTAAACATCAATGTGCACCTGAAGGATTGATATTAGGGTGCCTCAAGTAAAAGTGCTCTACTGAACACTCATAAGAGACAGAATCTATGACACATCCAAACTATATAGAAACTTTCTGTTTTTAAAATATATAATTTAATATCAAACTCTAAACACCATACCTGTACATATTTATTGTCATTTAGGTGTTGAAGTAGACACGTTTGTTTCCTATTCAGTGTAGGATTCACTATTTGCCTTAGAATATCTTGACTTTCATGAAATAGCATTTGGAATAGAAATGACATTTGATATCAATCCTACATCTCATAGTGATGCTTAAACACACGATACGCGAAAATACTTATGAATCATCTTTTGGGTTTTCCCCCAATGCAAGAAGTTGATTGTTGTTTCTCATTGACATGCTGAAGAATGAACAATATAATTTTCTAGCATAATATGTAATGCCATTCCCTCTTCAAGTCTTTGGCTCTTATGCTACAGACATTTGAATCCCGACTGTCTTAATTAGCTAACAAGGTGCTCAATCTTTTGCAGAGAGGAGGATTAGCATTCTGGCTCCGCATGCTTCTGCTGCTTAGATGGGTCACGAGAATGAAGTTGTACAGCTAACTGAGGATAATATGAGCCCCTCTCTTTCTTTCATGTCCAGGAAAGTCTATGTATTGAGATGGATAAGGCGCAATGAAAATAAAGATTGTTGGTTGTACTTAAAACTGTACATTGTTAGTTTGAGGATATACCTTAGAGTAGTCGCGGCTCAGACGGTGAACACACCTGAGGCCCCTGCAGAGGAGATAAATTTAGTGTACAAGTTTTAAGGGTGTAAAAAGCAAGGCGGTAGTAGAATTTGTGGTCGTGACTGTACAAATGTTACCAGGTGGAGTCCTCCATAAATTTTTTTGATGTATGGCATTGATTATTTTCTAATTAAGGAACTTTTTTCCCCCAAAAAGTAGCAAGCTGAGATTCTATTTCCAGATTTATTATGCCAAGCTGTTGCATGAAATTTAATGCTTTTACATGCTGATTTTCTTGATATTTTGAGCAGATATGTTGGAAGGAAAGAAAATTTCATGGCAAATTTGTTATGTTTGAGGCCAAACTAATTGGGGTTTTGAAGCTCCAATTGGTGATCGTTCCTCCTGCCTGAAATGGCATTATGAATTATTCTTGGTCTTTAATCTCTCTTCTCCCAAAGGCTTTAATTGAGGCTCAATGAGGGGCAACAGGACCTGTTCTTTTTCCCTAAAACACTAGGCTTGCATAACTTTTGAGTTTACTTTTTTTCTTTAGTTGAATCTTTGAATTAAACTGGAAAGAAACTGCAACCCAGAAAAAAAAGTGGAAAAAAGAGGAAAACTGGAACCATTATACCAAAAAACCAAGTGATACATAGCACCAAAATTTAGTGCCAAGTTGCCAACAATACAAGAGCACCCCCAAACTACCCAGCATTTTGCCTTGGGCATGGTCTCTGCTCAAATAGGTCATCCATAGTTAGGAGGACAAAATGTAATGACATAGCGAGGAGCTTTACAAGTCTTGAGCCCTGTAGAATCATCAAAGGCATAACTATAAGCCCTGGGACAAATAGCCTTAAAAAGATGACCAAAAACAGTTGGCTTGCAACTCTTTGGATCTGCAAACTCCCCTCTGCAGCAATACCTGTCTGAATTTGCAGCCAAACAAGCGCTCTTGCAGCCTACAACCTTCCCTTGTTTCATCACCACCAATGCAGATGGGCAGCAAACATTCAAGTCAGCTTCACAAGCAGCAACCCCACACCCCATCCTACCACCTATTGGCCTCATTGAAACCGGAACGTTGAACCCATCAACCAAACTCACATCATAGTAATGCAAGTCTGATTTGGAGGTCCCAAGTGTCATTTCAACTAGTGTGGCTGGAGGCACTCCACCAAGTCCCCTGCATTGTAAGAGCCCGGCGCAATCCCCTGTTTGGCATGAGCCTTTGCCTGTTCGTTCATCAAAGCAGCAGCCTTGCCTGCCCCATAGTCTTCCTGACCAGTTTTCGGGCACGTCAAGGACTTGCTGTTCCCCGCTGTGGAGATGGAAGCCGCCGCATTGAGGAGTTGGGTAGCCTGCAGTGCCAAGGATCCCGGGCCATATGCTCTCCTTGCAGTTGTTCACTATAATGAGTTGAGTTCCATCTGCAACAGAGATATAAATATTGTTAATCTAAGTTTTAGAAAACCACAGATTCTATGAGTGAAAAAGAGGGAGTACCTGTGAAGGACAGGGAGATGAGAAAGCAGAGGAAGAAGAAGACTTGTGAGATTGGCATCTGAAATTGATATGACTGATGGAGATGGCTGGGATGTGCTGCTATTTCTCTGTGTGTTTATGATTCTACTACGTGTGGAAAAAAGAGAAAAGGAATTTCCTGCTTTGTCGCCAACATGGAAGGAGTGGTAACTTTAAGAACAACTGCACATGTAATAACGGTTTGCAAAGTTCAAGACTTGTAAATTTATATTTACTAGCCTTTTTGCATGCGCTTCCGTGCCTGTGAGAGGGTTTTTTTTTATTATAAAAAATTTAAATTTATTTTAGAATAAAAAAAGATAATGGGTAGTTGTGTTTCATAAATTAGGATAATTATCTGATTTTTCTTTTAATTTTAATTTTTTTAAATATGAAAAGTGTGAATTTACTATATTATTCTCATTTAATTAATAATTTTAATTCTTAATGTTTGCATTAACCAAGGGCATTGTTTGGTATTTTGAATGTTTCACATTCTCTGCCTTTTGCTTTATATATATAGATACAAAGTTTGCATAAAAGATGTTGGCTACTTTTTAAAAACTACAAGGAACCCAGTTACAAGTAAAAGCTCAAGTTTAGACTGACAGCTTCCTACATCACAGACATTAGGCAAAGTAAACCCTAAGCTCAAGTTTAGGGTTTAACTTTCATTTGCATGTCCTCTCTCTCTCTCTTTTTGTTTTTGTTTTTGTTTGTTTTTTTTTCGGTTTTACTCTATAATCCTCTTGGATTATCTAATTTGTTGCAGAGCAAAAAGACATGCCCAAGATGGTTTTTTTTTAAATTCTTTTTTAGGAGAGAAACTATCATGTAAAGCAATGACACGTATGATAACTTTTTCAAATATTATTGTGTTATTGGTCGTGAATAGCAAAATAGTGTTATCTCCATTATAAATATATATATATATTTTAATACTTTAGATATAAAATTCAAACAAAAGAGAAGTAATTCAAATTTCAAAGTACCCCCCATGATGCCTCTCACTTTAGTTCCTCTTTTATCATAAGATTCCATCCCTTTTTCTTATTACTACCACCGTCCCATTATAATAGCAATTTTATTGTGGATTGGATCTATATTAAAAATTAATGAGAGACTTTACTTTTTAGATTTTCCAAAGATGCAAGTGGTATGGAGCAAACCTCAAATTTTCCAATGGATTTGCAGCTTCAATGTTAAATCTCATTTTCACCTACAATTATTAATCTTCATCCGTTAATGTCCATTAGACTTTGAAGGTCGATGCAACTCACATTTTATATCATTTCCATAGCTAGTAACATACATGTGTAAGCCTTTGCATGCCGTTTTGGCTTATGAATAAAACTCTCTTCTTAAAAAAAACACATACATGTGTCAAGTATTATAATGGATGTATACGACTTTATGTGTTTATCACTTTCATCATATGAATATCTTTATGTGTCTATCACTTTCATCATACGGATTATCTATCAAAATTCTATTTTTATAGGTAACTTCAAGTAGAAATATTGGTCAGTTGAAACTATATTTAAATAGAAAATGTGGGTTTCTTTTTGGTAAATTATTCAGCTAGTTAAATTTTTTTTTGAAGGATAATCTTGTGTCTGAAGAAGAAAAAACTTCCTCCAAAACAAGAAATTGTCAGTCTCTGAATTCAATCGAAGAAGCTTTTTTTATATACTCAATTAAAAGAACCTTTATATTTTTATGTAACAAGAAATTGAATTTTAAAGACAGACCAAAAAAGAAACCAGACCCAGACCTGAAGTGTAACTACCGCGAATCGCCGGTTCATTGATTTTGCCGGGCGCCGGCCGGTCCGAGTTTCAAGTTGAGTCACGGCTTGTTAGCGAGGAAACCGGAAGGTTCGGTTTCTCGTTTTCCAAAACCGTTTAAACGAATGTCACTCTGACCAGATCAACCGTTAAGACCAATATAAATAAAGAAAGAATGGTCAGTATAAGCGGTTGAGCCCAAACCCTAACCGGTCCATCCGGTCGCTCCCCCACGGTTTATAATCCCCATTTTAACCACCCCAACTCGGTTCTGTTTCCCAAATAGACTTCTCTCTGTTTATCAGAAGTATTCAAAGAACAATAAACAAGTAAGCTCTCTCTTCTTCCTCTCTCACCCTCAATTTTGATATGTTTAATTTTATTGAGTGAAGTATATGCACCGTATTGATGCTGGGATTGATGGGTTTCTGTTGAATCACTTGGTTGAACTTTGAATTGAAGAAGAAAGTGATTGTCTTGTTGTAATGGGTTTTGGCCTTTTTAACAAATAAGTTAAGTTTTTGGAGGTTGTGGATATGGCTTCGGGTCTGGTAATGGAGCCTGTACCGATTACATCACAAAAACACGACCCTGCATGGAAACATTGTCAAATGTTCAAGAATGGGGAGAGGGTTCAACTCAAGTGTATATATTGTAGCAAATTGTTTAAGGGTGGTGGGATTCATAGGATTAAAGAACACCTTGCTGGTCAGAAGGGTAATGCATCTACTTGTCTACTGGTTCCACCCGATGTTCGGGCTTTAATGCAACAGAGTTTAGATGGGGTTGTGGTGAAGAAGAGAAATAGGCAAAAGCTTGATGAAGAGATTACTAATATTACTCCATCACCTCATGGTGAGGTAGACTCACTTGCCCTTCACAGTGATGTGAGTAATGGGATTCAGTTGATTGGAGCTCCTGTGACGCTTGAACCCAATTCGGAGTTGTTAGTGAATCAAGAGGGCATGACAAGTGAGAGGAGTCTGGATAGAAGGAAAAGGGGGAGAGGTAAACATTCTTTCTCAAGCCATGGTGCTTTTGGTGTTACTAATAGTGCTGCATTAGGTTCTAGAAAAGTGAACAATTATGTTCACGAGGCAATTGGACGGTTTTTGTATGATATTGGGGCACCTCCAGATGCGGCAAACTCTGCTTATTTCCAACCGATGATTGATGCAATTGCTTCAGGAGGTTCCGGGGTTGAGCCTCCCACGTACCATGATCTTCGAAGTTGGATATTGAAGAATTCAGTTGAAGAAGTGAGGAATAATACTGATAAATATAGGGCAATGTGGGGAAGAACTGGTTGTTCAGTTTTGGTTGATCAGTGGAACACGGAGTCAGGTAAGGTTTTGCTAAGTTTTTTGGTGTACTGTCCTGAAGGAACAGTATTTTTGGAATCCGTGGATGCATCAGACATTATAAATTCCTCCGATGCTCTTTATGGATTGCTTAGGAGAGTGGTAGAAGATGTTGGAGTAAAAGATGTGCTGCAGGTGATTACTAGTAACGAAGAGCAATATATGG